GGTTGCAGATGGTCACCTCTCCTCTACCTTGCGAATATTGGCACAGTGTCAGGTGTGTGTGGGGGGGGATTAAGAATCCACACAGACATGAAGGATCGGCAGCCGTGACACCAATCGATTTCCTTTGGAGGGAAACATTAGGGCCCGAGGTGAGTGTAGCCCAGCAGTGAACATGAACAGTGCAAGGCAGGACAGCACAATGGGTGGTCAGAACAGAAATGATGTCACCACTAGAGTCTCGGGTAATCCAAGACTTTAGCTCCTGACTCACACTCTTGGGGAAGGGGTTGTCATAACTCCTGACGAGTTCCTCACCTGTGCAGAAAGGTAAGGGGGCTGAAGGGCCGTGGCAGGGAGTGGTGAAGACATGTGACACGTAAGAAATGAGATGGTGGGGATCATCAAAGGAACGATGACTGCATGGATGGACTAGAAGTCTGACGGGGCTGGAAATCTGTGACACATGAGTCCCCTCAGGGAGTGAGCTGAGAAAGTGCTGTTGAGACGACAGGGTGATTTAAATGGTGACTCTAGGACAGTTGCTGTTGTTTGTGACAATCTCTAGGGCACCATTGAGGAGAAATACAAGCTAAGTAGCCAGAAAGACTGCTCAGTGGGTAAAGGTGCTTGCTGCCAAGCTGGATGACCCGAGTTCAATCCCTGGAACCAAATGATGGAAGCAAATGACCTCCACATTCACACCATAGCACGCTTGCGCCAACACACGTAGACATACACATTTACACCATAGCATGTTTGCTCCCACACACGTAGACATACACACATTTACACCATAGCAAACTCACTCTCACACACATAGGCATACACAGAGTAAATAAAGATGTAATTTCTTTTAAAAGAACTATTAAGTAGCACAAAGAACTGTCTTCCTAGAAGGGCCAAGGATGCAGACATGTCACATGTGAGGAACCACACTGCCTTGGGCTGAGGAAAGCCCCCAGTGAGGAACAAATGTACATAAGCGTTTTCCACTGAGCTGTAATGTGGCCAGGAGGCATCATTAACATTAAAGAAAATCCCTAGTCTGTGAAAAGTGTGGTCATGGGTTAGGTGTCTTCCTAGAGTGCTATGAGCTTTCTGTAGGATGACAGAGCTCCCCTGAGTGTCTGCGGGGAAACAGTCTACACTGTTTGCTATACTGCAATGTCTACGTCAAGACACAGAACTGGAGGTGGTGGCATATTTCAAGGTTCTGACATAGTGAGGAGTCCTGACAGTATGTCCAGGGTAACCGACATTGTCCTCTGAAAAAGGAGAAAGTGGCGCGCGCACATGACCTCTGCAGTGTGTTAGCACTGGAATTACTCACTGAGAAGAGTCAAGAATGATGGAATTCTGTTTGGTCCCACTGAGAACGCTTAAGACACCCAGCTTGCACTGGGAGCCAGGCTCTTTCTGGTCTCTTTAAATGAGATTATTTAAGCAAATCAACTTTAAAATCATTGCTGTTTCACATATACACCAGTGCTTAAATTTATCCACACATCAAGAACTAGAAGACAAACATGATTTGTATGTCCACGATAATAATCTTTTGGCTCCAGGCTCCCTCTACTGACTCCAAAATAATAAACAAACATTATATGGGCACCCTCCTGACTAGATTCAATCATATGTGAAAGCGAAGGCAAACAATTCTGTGCAGTAACAAAGGATATCCTTAATAAGAGAAGCAGGAAGTTTAACATTTGGAGAAAGGTGAAGCATAGAAACTAATTTGCAAAGTACTTGTATAGATAGCACTCCACGCAGTTGCCACCAACTCTTACCCACAAATGACAAAGGCATGTGGTTTGACCCAGTAGTTTAAATTTTAATTGTCAAAGAGAGCAAGGTGTCGTGAATACATGTGTATACACAAGTGTGTTGTCAGCGGTGGTTGCTGTCTTCAGTTAAAATTTCTCTAAACGCATGGTAAATGAAGACCACATGAGAACAGGAAGAAGCAAAGTGCTAGAGAGGCCCACAGAAATCCACAAAGATACCCACACAACAGACTGCTGGCAATGGTCGAGAGACAGCCCAAACTGACCTACTCTGGTGATGGGATGGCCAAACACCCTAATTGTTGTGCTAGAAACCTCATCCAACTACTGAGGGATCTGGATGCAGAGATCCATGACTAGGCCCTGGGTGGATCTCTGGGAGTCCAATCAACGAGAATGAGGAGGGTTTATATGAGCGAGAATTGTTGAGACCAAGGTTGGATAAAGCACAGGGACAAATAGCCAAATGAATGGAAACACATGAACTATGAACCAATGGCTGAGGGGTCCACACTGGATCAGGCCCTCCGAATGGGTGAGACAGTTGATTGGCTTGATCTGTTTGGGAGGCATCCAGGCAGTGGGACCAGATCTTGTGCTCATTGCATGAGTTGGCTGTTTGAAACCTGGGGCCTATGCAGGATTGTTTGGCTCGGCCTGGGAGGAGGGGACTAGACCTACCTGGACTGAGTCTACCAGGTTGACCTCAGTCTGTGGGGAAGGCTTTACCCTGGAGGAGATGGGAATGGGGGGGGGGGGCGTTGGGGGGAAGGTGAGGGGGACGGGAGGGGGGAGAACAAGGGAATCCGTGACTGATATGTAGAACTGAATTGTATTGCAAAATAAATTAAAATAAATTAAAAAAAAAATTTCTCTAAACGCAATCATCAATTTACATAGTTCCTGGCTAAAACCAACCACAGTTAGTCAAGTGCCCCACAGGAATGTGTATATAAAGGCTTTTGTTTAAAAGAAATACGCCTGTAGGTTAGTGTAAAGATACGAAAGTGCTTCCCACGAGAGGATAAATGAAAGAAATGCACAACAGCTCTGTGTTTACAAGAGCGGAGCTGGAAATGAAACACCACCCTTACCAGTTGAACTGTGAGAAGAGGAAGTGGGGTCATTTGCATAGACTTCAAACAATCTCACCCTATTGAGCAAATGAGCAAACCCTGGAAAGAATTAGAGGTAAAAGCGCAAGTCAATACACTTCAAACACCCTTGCTGCTTCCCAGCAACTGGGAAGAAAGCAGCGTCTTCTGGGGAAAGTCACACTTTGCACAAAATAAATATTAAGTCTGTTGTTGGTACTTTTCCAAAAAGTTAATATTTTACAGTTCAGAATTTTAGTTTAAGTCTGCCTTTGAAGCGCCAAGAATGTCTTTTGAAGTTATGTTTTCACAGACTTAGGAATTTGGTCTGAGAATGAAAGATGTCATCAAAGATTTATTTACAAAGATGGTCATCAAAACCTTCCTTCTTAGTTTCTCTTTTGCGCTCACATCTCATGCCCGGCATACAGCCTCTACACAGCTCCCAACAAAGACTTTCAGAGACAATGGATTAGCAGGGGAAAAGTTAGAATTGTCCAAAATAGGGACTGTCTGAAGAAATTATAAATAAGTTGTAATATATGTCGTATCTATATATGCCATTAAAATATTTTGAAGACTAAAGACATTGGGAAAATATTCAAGGGAAAATGTTAAATAAAAAAGAATACCAACAACGTAGATCATCAAATACAAATGTTAGTAAGAAATATCTATCTGTCCAAAAGAGGGCTAGAAGTAAAAAGTAGAATTAGTGGCTGAGCTTACTACTGGGCAGTAGAATTCTGGGTAGTTTAAATATTTTTAGTTGTGTATTTTAGTATGTTGTAAGTTGTCCGTCACGAGAGTGTATTGCTAAGCCAGGTTTTTTGTTTGGGAGGGAGCTTGTTTGTTTGTTGTGTGTTTTGTTTTCAGTACTCAGCATTAAGCCCAGGGCTGCAATGTGCTAGGCAAGGACTTCACAACTAACCTACATCCATTATCCCTATATTTATTTTATGATCAGAAAACATTAAATGTTATTAAACACTTTTTTTTGTATCATGCTCTGCTAACGTTAAGATCTGTAATGAAAACATATCCATTAAAAATCGTGGGGCTGGGGCCGGGCATGTCACTCAGTAGTGTACAAAGTCCTGGGTCCAATCCCCAGGACCACTAAAAACAAAACACCATAGAGTTTAATAATAGCTGCTGTGGAGTGACTTGGTATTTGTATGAGCATTTGGCTTTCTCTTTCACTTCTTTAGAAAAATCCCTCACTAGGAAGATACTTTAGATAAATGCATTCAGGGTTGAAAAGCACAGGCCAGAGCTACACTTTGCTTCATACTTGATGTCAATAACAACTTCTGCATAAAGGTTATAGAGATGGGCAAATTATTTCTGATGCCATGCAAATAAAGATGAAACGTAACGCCTTTTCACCAAAGAAAAGTAAGATAACCATCGTGGGGTTGGATAGGCATTGGGCCAGACACTACAGGAATGATCTTTATCCTTACAGTCAATGCACACTACAGGAGAAGCAATACTATTACCTAAGAGTGACTGGCCAGATGTTGTGTGTAAATAGCTTTTCTTTCCATGGTCTGAGATATAGACACACCTTGAAGACCCTGCCCTGTATAAACTTGCGCGAACTCGTCTTTTGGGGTATAGGTGGTAGAGAGAGACAGTGTAATCAAGTAGGCTTGATTTCTTGCACGTACAATGTGTGCAGCAAAGCTATCAATATCCATTTATCAAAACCAAGCAAATTTAATAGAACTAACGTTCTTAAACGTGATCAAGAAATACACTTTCCCTATGCATTTGCTGAAAAAGATCTTGTGTAAAACTTAGACCTCTGGTATGGAGAGTGTCCTCAGCCCTGCAACAGCGGAAGTCGTGACTTGCTAGGTCCTCATTAAACAAGGCACGTATTTATTAATTATTTCATTGAGTTCCTTAAACTTCCAATCTAGCTTTTTTTTCCCCCTTGATGCTTTCCTATCATCCATGACTGAAAAAGAGATTCAGAGAATGGCCGAACGGATGAATCAGAGAATTTAAAAATAACTGAAACTCCGTACACTCTTGGTTCTGAATGCTTTGGCTGGTTCTTATTTTTATAATAATTTCACAATTAAAGCATCTTCTATACAACAAAACTTACATATTTTCACCATCAAGTGAAGTGCAGGTCCCCAGGGGGTCCTTAAGATAGTGATCATATCTCTTCCATGTGAAATTCGAATCCAGATTTGATTCCAACAAATGGGTCTCTCTTCAAAACTCGTTGCCTAGCAACAAGTTTTCCGTGTCCAGGGAGAGAGGTTACCCATTTCCCCCCCTAGAAGATAAGCTTGAGAGACAATTGAGATTTTCTAACAGAGTCCTCCCACCCTCTTTTGTGACCGAAGCAGTGAAGCATAAGACCTCCAACTGGCTGAGGTGCCTCAGTAGCAGCCCGGGCGCGAAAGGGAGCCCAGACTTGGCCCGGGCTGGTGGGAAAGGCGAGTCTGGTTCTAAACAACTGAACCCGATCCCTAGGAGAATTGATGTCGAGACCCCCAGGAAACCCATAATCTTCTCTGGGCGATCTCAGGTGCAGGGGATTTTTGTTCATCTACATCCAGAGGCACCCATCCCTCCCAACTCAAGGCATCTTTTCTTCCACAAGTTGTAACCCCCAAATGAGGCCACCTCGCCCCTTTCCCTCCGCCACCTAGAGTCAGGATCAGGTATGGACACCGACCTTCCAGTCCCCCTGTCTCCGGCCTTTCTCAAAGTAACCAGGGTACGTGCTCAAGTCTGCCCCAGGATATGCGCCCCCAACTTGCCCCGCAGCGTAAGCCCCAGGCCCCCGGGGCGCTGGGCCACCCGAGCGGCCCGTGCCGCCCTCTGCGCGGTTCCAACAGCTGGCCCCGCCCCCGCCCCGCCCCCGGCCCGCTCCCTGCGCCCCGCCCCGGGCCCGCCGCGCTCTGCCCCTCTCGCCCCTCCGCTGCGTACGACCGCCCCGTCGCTGGGCGGCTCCCGCGGCTCCCGGGGCTCCAGCAGCAGCCCCTCCTGTCTCCATGGCGACACGGCGTCCCAGGCTCGCAGCTCGGAACCCAGCGCGAGTGGCGAGCGGGGCTGGACCTCCTGGTCCGCCCTTCGCGGGATCTCCATGGCAGGGCCAGCGGGTAAGCAGCGCCGTGGTGACTGCGAGTAACTTCCCGGTGCCCCCCCGCTACTGGCGGGACCCAGCCCGCACCTTGGACGGCGCCTAACCCTGAAAACTTCTCTACCACTCCAGGTTGGGGCTCTGGAGCCCCACGGCTGCCGAGGCACCGCCCGAGAAGGTAGGATGCTTGGCTGAGAGGAGGGGAGGTCTGCCTGGGTGTGCGTATCTCACCCTGCAGCCAAAATGAAAACCGGCACCTTCATCCCAGGGCCTCCAGCTCCGCCCCAGTTCTCCCAGTTGCCCGCGATTCTTTTAATTATTTTTGCAAACAACTTAATGGTTTATAGGGACGAGCATCCCCTGGCTTGTTCTCTACTTAGTACTTGTTTGGCCATAGCAATGTGAACTTTGGACCTTCTTGATCGCCCAAGAGAAGGGCGCACCACAGAGCGCTTCTAAATCCAATCTAGATGACTTGGAATGTCCAAAAATCAAGATTTTGACTTTTGGCTCCTTGAACTAGCATTTTAACAGTATCCAGCACAGTGACACTGGTAGCATAGATGAGGCTGTTTGTTCTTACCCCAAGAAATTTTTTTTTAAAGGAGATCTGAAAGAGATACTTAAAATACTTTAATTCTCCTAAAAACCGAAGTCAATGACTCCCGAATACACACACACACACACACACACACACACACACACACACACACACACACACACACACACACATACAGGTTTTTATTTTTGTTTTATTAGTCTCCAGGAAACAACCTCAGCAGAAATGATCTTTAACTGTTGAGTTTCCAGAGCTAAATCTCAACACTTTCCTAGGGATTCCCACTGCACCCACTCCAGAATTTGTCTCTCATGCCTGCCCTGCATTGAAGCTGCATAACTTAGCTGTGCTCCCTGCTTCCATGTCCAAGTAGCCTGGGGTTTCGTAGAGCTGGTTTCATTTCCCAGTTTCAGGACTGCCCTTGCAAGGCCAAGCAATACGTAGTGAAAGTGATAGGAGTTATTGAGGTGATTTCCTTCTGGTGGCCGTTAGGTTCTGTTGTTATGTGTGTTTACCTGTACAGGAGCCATGGGGGGTAAGTGACCACCTTTTATCCTCATCTTCTGCTTCAATGAGCTGAATTACAGAGAGGTTAAGGAATTGATGCAAAAATTACAAGATCTGTTGAGATTTGAACATAGGCTGCCTCCAGGAAGCTGCTGTCCTGCCAAGGAGGAAATGCAGAGTTTATAAGTACTCTGGGTATAAGTAAGTGATGGATGGTCATCTTATATGCATTTGACACTGTACAGTAAAGTGTGCCTGGGTTGTGTTAATCTTCCCCCCACTAACCGCCTCTTCTCTTCATCCATTCTCTGCCAAGCAGAGCACAAGGTTGTTTACAAAAACATAGAATAAAAGAGTAAGATAGTTGCACAAATACAATAAAGGGAAAAATGTTATGTCTTCCGTTATTACAAGAGAAACCTAAAACAAGAATATCTGGGAATTCGAATCTTCAGTGTTAGCAACTCGTTTGATAAATTTCTGTTTGGACTTTGCAGTCCACATGCGACCTGAGTGGCCCCACTGGCCTTGTTTAGTGACCTGTGCCTAGAGGTGTGTGTATGGGAGATAACTTCCGTCTGCTTGGGGTACCAAGTCTTTAGCTTCTCTTGTTCCAGGTGGGTGATGGAATCCAACACAATTCTGTTGATAGACAGACGTAGGCAGTCGCTCACCATGGTCTGTGGGCTGCTGGCCAGCATCTTCTCTGAACTCGTATCTGATCTTCTTGCCTCTGTTCTCTTTCACATTTACCCTCCACCAAATCTCCGGGGTCAATTTAATCTTCCGGTCTTCTTTAGAGCCTTGAATTTGGTTTACATTGCCTGATACTAACAGCCCTAACTCCTTAGCATGTGGCAGTTAATGGCTTTTATTCTTTGTCCCCAAATACAGTTCTAGCTTCAGCAGACATTCTCTGACACTGAACTGGACAGTTCATCTATTGTTACCTGGATGTGGCCCCAACTTTGCTAAATGTCACCTTTACAGTGGCATCCTATGGTGAAAGATCCAATCTTACCATGTTACGAGCTTGTGGTTGGGATTCTTTCAATTTATTCCATGTTCATGTGTGGACTTAATGCTTCTCATCTGACAAGCCCAGAGGCTGTGCTAATTCTGCTATCAAAGCTCTTACTACAGTGCCAGGTATGACAGCAAGAAGTAAGAGCCGTAGTCAAGGTTTCTTTTTGTTTCAAACGACAACAAAACCCCCACAACTCAGACTTATTTTAGGAAAAAATGAGAAGGCTGGGCGGTGGTGGCGCACGCCCTTAATCCCAGCACTCGGGAGGCAGAGCCAAGCGGATGTCTGTGAGTTTGAGGCCAGCCTGGTCTACAGAGTGAGAGCCAGGACAGGCACCAAAGCTACACAGAGAAACCCTGTCTCGAAAAACAGAAACCAAAACAAAACAAAATGAGAAATTACCTGGTAATTTCCCCATGGTAGGGACAGAGATTGAGTGGAAAGAGGGACTCAGACATCATTGAAGGTGTATGTGTGTGCCTCTTACACATGTTCATTCTGTCTCCCCCTCTCCTCTCCCTTCCTCCTCCTCTCTCCTTTATGTTCCCTCTCTTCTCTCTCTCCTCTGACCTCTCCTCTCTCACTCCTCATTTCTCACCCAGGAGTTCTAGACTCACATTTTCCTGACCTTATGACTGTCCTAGTTGGAAAACCTCGGGGAAATTTTGTGTTGAGCTAAGCTTGGATCACAGGCACACCACTTAGGCCTGTCACTGTTGGCTTATGAATTACCACGGTAGGTGTCATAGTTAGGGTTACTATCACTGTGATGAAAAAAAAAAAAAAAAACACGACCAAAGCAACTTGGGGAGGAGAGGGTTTATTTGGCTTACACTTCCACATCTTAGTCCGTTGTGGAGGTAAGTCAGGGCAGGAACTCCAAACAGAACAGGAACCTGGAGGCAGGAGCTGATACAGAGGCCATGGAGGGGTGCTGCTTGCTGGCTTGCTCAGCCTGCTTTCTTATAGCACCCAGGTCCACCAACCCAGGGGTGGCACCAACCACAATGGACTGGGCTTTCCCCCATCAATCATCAATTAAGAAAATGCCCTACAGGCTTGCCTGCGGCCTGATCTTACAGAAGCATTTTCTCAATTGAGGTTCCCTCCTCTTAGATGACTTTAGCTTGTGTCAAGTTGACAGAAAACTGTCCAGCAGAGAGGGTGTGCTTGGAACAGTACCTCTACCTTTGTAGTCAAGCAGCTAGATCTGGGGACAGACACTGTGTAGTAATGCATTGTTTATGGATTCTTGTAGAAAATACAGTTACGAAAGGAATGCAAAAACCAGAGACTAAGTCCCGCGTCTGGATTGCAGCACTGGGGGGTGCTTTCGGTCTGCCTCCACCGCGTGCAGACTCTTCTTGGCTATCGCCTCTTGTCCATGTGTTAAAAAGCGTTTGATTGGATCCTGGTAGTCACTATGATCTCAGTTTGGGCGGTATAGAAAGTTACGTGGTAGCCCCTCAGAAGCCTTGGCTACAGCGCTCTGAGGCCTGGACCGGAAGGGAGATGCTGTGTCTGCCTTGAGATGCTGAGCATCTTCAAAGCAGAAAATCCATCGTGGGGTCTCCGCAGCTTTAGCACAGACTAGTGTGCTGCATAAGAGGTGCTCATGGAAGGTTTGCTTTTCTGTTTTCTGACTCAACACAGGCTAACTACACAGTACGCTCTTCCCCTAAACGACACCCCAGCCCAGATTTCTGTCTTAAGTAGATGTTGAATATTACATGGGAATTGCAGGCTGTTATAATTATTCCCATTGCCAAAGGAACTGTTGACAGACATGAATAGAGTCAACCCACAGTCCAAAACCCAGAGGTTCCTTGGGGTTTCACTTTAGTTTCACCCATGTTGAACATGACAGCTTTCTCCATGGGCCAGCGATCTTGGTTGACATGTATCAGCACTTTAGGGCTGAGGTGGCTTTGTAAGTTAAGTGTCTTCAAAGCTAGTCTGTTTGTCTCAGGTCACAGCTTCTCTTTTGCTCCCCCAAACAATCTTAGCCCAAAGGACATGTGCCCAGCTTTTCTTTTAGATAAAACATGAAGCTTTTGTAACTGTTTTTACTGTGTGACAGGCTCTGTGCTAAGCCCCTCATATAGTTGACCTGGATTTTATCTTTAAGATGATCCAGAGAAGTCAGCCCCATAACAATCCCTACTTTTCAGGTGGAGAGCTGAAGCTTAAGGGAATTAAGTCACTTTCCAAACTCCCCGGAGTAGTGGGAGCCTGGCTCCTGAGTGTCACTGACTCCTAAGGAATAAATGTTAGAATTAGAGAGGGCAAGTGGGCACATCCTGGGGAACGGTACAGCTGGACTGAGAGGAGTCTGGACCTCCATCTGTCTGAGCTCTGTCTGTCCTGATTTTCCTTTCCCCACTGAAATGGGAAGAGAACGGCATGCCTGATTGTGCATCCAAGTAAGAATTGCAGTCTGTGCAGCTCTGAAGCTGGAGATGCGGAGGGAGGCTCTGACTGGAAAGGTCGTGCTCTGCCTATCTTACCGGTGTGTCCACAGGACGATAGCAATCTGGGGAGCCTCTTTAGTTCATCACTGTGTTGTCTCCTCCTAGCCTAGAGAATCCGAGGAAACTCTTTCGTTTATCATATTTGGTTTCTCACAACTGGCTTCCCTCAAAAGACGTTGTGCTTTCTGGCACACTGGAGCTCTCTATCAACTCTGCAACCGAGAATGGAGTTAACAACGTATTTAATACCTGGCTTGGTCAAGGATCCCAGAATGCAAAGCGGGGGGTGGAAGGGTAAACATTTCTGCTTTGCTCAAGAATGAGAGTCTGAGAGAGACAATAGAAAAGCAGGCAATCCCAACTAATGACCCTGTGCTTTGTCGTCCACAGTCTTGGGCCTGATTTTTGTATTCCAGAAATCCCCAGGTATGGAATAATAACCATTTTAGAAGTTTGGATTGAGGGCTAGGTATGGTGTCACATATCTGTAATCCCAGCACTTGGGAGGCAGGTGGATCTCTGTGAGTTCAAAGCCAGCTTGGTCTATGGAGTGAGAAACCAACAAAAAGTCTGCCTTGGGCTGTGGAGCCAAATGGGGGAACAAGTGAATTGTTAACATATGCTGTAATTAAGTGTGACCTTTTCCATAAGTTAAAAGAATACAATTAAATGAAATTTATCCAGGTATTTAAAGGGCTCCATCATGGGGAAAATCAATCCTATAACTAGGTAACCTAGAAGGCAACAAAAATACTCAGAGAAACATTCAACTTCTAAGTATTAGTAAATGCATGTGAAGATTTATGAGATACAAATTAAAACATATCATTGGATAAAATAAAAGATTAATTGTACTTTTATATATTTAAATGATACATGTTTATATATTTGAATAATACTTAATATTTAAATGACTTAAATATTTAAATAATTAGTAAAATTCCATATCCTGAATACGGAGGCCTTCCACCCGCCTCTGACTGACATCTGTTCTAAAGATATCCTTCATGGCGCCCGCAGACGGGACAGTGGCAGTGCTTGACTTATTCATCATGCTTTAGTTTCTTGAAGTTGGAGAGAAGTGTCAATGCGAGCTGAAATGAAGTTATGATTCCCAGGGTCGTCAGCTCAGCGGAAAGGGTGTCCTAGCCTGCTATTGACTGTATTTTTAGTCTAGACCTAGAATCCAAGATAATGAACCAAAAAGGTAACAGAACTAGGGGATCGTTCAACACATCACCACTGTCCCGTGCAGAATCATTTCTGCAGCTCTGTTTACATGAACTCCAAGGGGAGATAGGAAGAAAGTTGGTTTCTCTAGACCAGTGGTTCTCAACCTTCCTAATGCTGTGACCCTTTAATACAGTCCCTCATATTGTGGTGACCCCTAACCATAAACTTATTTTTGTTGCTACTTCATAACTGTAATTTTGCTAGTTATGAATTGTAATGTAAGTATCTGTGTTTTCTGATGGCCTTAGGAGATGTGAAAGGGTCATTCGATCTCCACAGGAGTTTTGACCCATAGGTTGAGAGCTGCTGCCCTAGACATTATAACTTCGTTTCTTAGCCCAGATGGACCCATGTTTAACAGCCTACTCACAGTTCTGTGTTTTATTTCACTTGTGTTATCATTTATATAAGTATTTAGAAATTTACAAGGTAAATGTCTGGTTTCTTTGTTTTGCAGGAACTACCTAGACAAGAAAGATGCTGTAAAGGTAAAGGATGCAGGGCTGGGATGGAGCTCAGTTGGTATAGTGCTTGCTTAGCATGCAAACAGGAAACCCTGCTTTCAGCCCCACAACCTCCATAAACTGGGCATGGTGGCACAAGCCTGTCCTCCTCGCCCTTGGCATTTTTGGTTGTGTAGCTACCCTTTGAATGGCTGAGCCATTTCTCCACCCCAATCCTAACACTTGGGAAGTGAAAGCAAATGATCAGAAGTTCAGGGTCATCCGTGGTTACGTAGTAAGTAAGCTCAAGGCCAGTCATGGATGCATAAATATGCCTTGTCTCAAAAAAATAAATAAGCCGGGTGGTGGTGGCATATGCCTTTAATTCCAGCACTCGGGAGGCAGAGGCAAGCGGATCTCTGTGAGTTTGAGGCCAGCCTGGTCTCCAAAGCGAGTTCCAGGAAAGGCGCAAAGCTACACAGAGAAACCTTGTCTTGAAAAATGAAAAAAAAAAAATAAATGAAATGTATAATGCTGGAGGTTTTGTTCTTGTTGTTTTTTGTTTTGTTTTTAGAATGTTTTGGGTCAGCTTTACCATCAGTTTATAAAGTTTAAAAATGATTGGCTTTAGTATATATTACACAATAGAAATATTTACATAAAGGCTCTTAATATTTTTTTCCAAATACTTCAAACTAAAATAATAATGATAATTCTAGCTTTTCTTCCTGCTTCTATTTTAGGCACCAAAAAGCAGACAAAATGGCACATTGCTAGTGTTTGATCCAAAGGGTAAATGATTTATTTCTTAGAACGTGTTTGACCATGACCTTGTTCTGAATATTAGTTAAGAAGAATATTGGAATGGTTGGATATGATTGTATGGCTCAACAATAATTCCTGTGTTGTCTGTCTTTCAACAAAAAACCTTAACTGCTTCTCAATTGAAATGTTGTGTTAGGGATAGCACTGTTGAAAAAAATACTAAATATTTTTTCTTCTCTTTCAGAAAAAGTGATGATTGACCCAAGCAAACCAATGTCACAGTAAGGAAATGTCCTTGGCCTTCCCTTTTAAGTAATTAGAAGTAGATAATGCAAACCATTGGTCACCTAATTAAACTTGCAAAGGCGGACGTGCATGGATGAACTTCAGTTGTTACTTGAGTAGAGAGAGATTTAAAATGAAAACTGAACTGTGAAAAAAGGGAAATACAGGTGATACTCACTTCCGCCTAATGCTTTAATGGAGTGTTTTCTGTCCACGCTGTCTTTTGATTGTTTAATTTCCACTCTTCTTTCCTGTCCCTTTGATGTGGCTTCCTTCTTTAGAACATCTCTGTAAGTGAATACTCACTTTAAAGTTAGTGTTCTCAGCTCATTTAGCATGCATCGTTATCCTACATAAAGAAAAAAAATCCCCTTGAATAGTTCAGAAACTGGCATTTGAACATCACAGCGTATGTTCAGACCAGTTGAATGGTTGACTGTGAGGTGCTAGCTCCATTCACAGCATCCAATATTTGATTAAAGTCCTTCATGACGCAATCGTCTCCTACCTTTTGGAGGAAAAATTTATTCTATGAAAAATTACACTTGGAATATTGACCTTAAAACAAATTCCTAGGGCTGGAGAGATGACTCAGCAGTTAAGAACCTCTTCTAGAGGGCCCAGGTTTGATACCCAGCCCCCACATGGTGCCTTTTGGGGCACTGCACACGTATGATAAACAGACTCTTGGAGATAAAGCACCCACACACATAACATACAATGAAGAAAAGAGGACAGTGCCAGGCCTGACCACCTCAGTTCGGCTCCCAAGACTCACGTGGTGGGAGGAGAGAAACAACTCCCAGGAATTCACATGTCTCAGCGCTTCTCAACCGTTCTAGTGCTGCGACCCCTTAATACAGCTCCTCGTGTTGTGGGGACACCCAACCGTAAAGTTACTTTCTTGCTACTTTATAACTAATTTTGCTGCTGTTGTGAATCATAATGTAAATTTCTGATATGCAGATTGTAGCTGGAGTTTTCCTGCCTGGCCCACAGTCAGGACAAATCTCTCTCACCCGCCAGTCCCAAGCCGCTCAAACCCGATCAAGTAAACATAGAGACTTATATTGGTTACAAACTGTATGGCCGTGGCAGGCTTCTTGCTAACTGTTCTTACAGCTTAAATTAATCCATTTCTATTAATCTATACCTTGCCATGTGGCTTGTGGCTTCCCGGCATCTTCACATGCTGTTTGTCATCATGGCGGCTGGCAGTGTCTCTCCTCAGCCTTCCACTTCCCAGCTCTATTCTCCTCCTTGTCCCGCCTACACTTCCTGCCTGGCCACGGGCCAATCAGTGATTTATTCATTGACCAATCAGCAACACATTTGACATACAGACCATCCCACAGCAGCAGATGGTCTTAGTAGACCTCTGTGATAGGGTTTGACCCCCAGGGGTCTCAACCCACAGATTGAGGACCGCTGATATATATAGATATATAGATATAGATATATTGTCTATCATGCCTGAGGTCCTGGTTCATTTTGAATACTATTGGCTGAGAAAAATTCTACTCTATGCAACATATATTTTAATTTCCATACTGCAATAGCTAAAATATTCATCTTCAACTTTGTTGCAAACTTTATACCTTTAATCCTGGCACTCAGGAAGCAGAGGAAGGTGGATCTCTGAGTTCGAAGCCAGCCTGGTCTACAGAACAAGTTCTAGGACAGCCAAAGGCTATACAGAGAAACTCTTGTCTCAAAAACAAAAACAAAAGCAAAAAAACCAATCAAATAAAAAACCCAAACTTGTATCTATGTAAGGAGTGACATGAGCCACATATATGAAGGGCAGGAGACTATATTCAACTAGTAGTTGAGTCTCTCCTCTTGTCACTTAGGTCCTGGGGCTTAAACTCACTTCAGCAGGCTTGGCAGCAAGTGACTTTCCCAGCATGCCACCCCACCACCCTGTGTATTTTGTATCAAAGGGAAAGGATTATGTAACAGAGCAATGTCAGAGGACTTCCATTTGTTTCAAATTAAAGTTACAGTCCACCAGGGAAAAAAACCTATATAAATTATTTCCACCTACACACACATAATTCTGTATACCCTGTTATCACACAGTTGGAAGCATACTGGAAAAGCACGAGGCAGGACATTCAGTAGTCATGGGGGGTAACAGGTCATTCATTGGTGGCAATAAGAGCTCTGCCACATTGGACAAAAGTACTTGACAAAATCAACTTAAGTCAAAAAGGGGTCCTTCTGCATCACAGTTAGCACAAACTGCATCATGGCTAAAGGAGGCATGGCGGCAGGAGTGTGAGGTGGCTAATCACACTTGATGCAGTCAGGGGGCGGTGCTGTTAGCTTGCTTCCCCCTTTTTATGAAGGCCTGAGATCCAGCCCATGTAACGGTGCTGCTCATATTCGATAGCTCTTTTTACCTCAGGAACTCAGTCTACAAACTCCCTCAAAAGTGAGCCCAGAGGACTGTCTCCTAGGTGACCTAGATCCTGTCAAATTGACAATCAGGAGATTGGGTGCCTTAGGGCTGATGTGACTGTAGACGGAAATCAGTACTAGCCATCACAGCCAGTGTTCTTAGACAGTGCTGAGCAGGGGTGAGACTCAGCAGAGGTGCTCCACACCTGACCCGACGAGACTCCGCCCAGGAGGTCATTGCAGCCTAGACCCAGACAGAAAAGCAGAGGGACAAGTCTCTCAGTCCCCACTGCATGTGACTATAAAACTGCCTTTCTCAAGGACGGTGTGGTCAGGTTCCCCGGTGCCCATTCAGGGACAAGAGCCAAGCTGGTAAATTCAGCCAGTGAGTCTCACAGATGTGTGGTGTGACCACCCCAGGCCCCTTACCAAAGGTGAGGGTAAAGAGGGTTAGGGTCTGAAGACAATCATAGTGAAATGGAAGACTGCGGGGGATCGTAGCTCAGAGTTAACTCATGCGAAGTCAGGGAATTCCTCAGTGGCGCTTCCCATCCATTTTCATCCCATTGTTGGGATTTGGTTAAGTAAAGACCCCACCTGCGCTAGGCTAGAGACCTCTCTCTCTCTCTCTCTCCCTCTCTCTCTCTCTCTCTCTCCCTTCTGAGTCTTCACCCCTGTCCCAGTACAGGAAAAATGACTGCAGCAAATCCACACTTCTTTGACAAAAGTTGAGAAATTGTATCCACGGGGTTGTGTTACATAGCGGTGGTCTGCTCTCCAACCTTTTATAAAATGGATGCTAAGCTGTTTTTCCCTTTCTGCTTCACTTTTAAGGAAGTGCTGCTTTGGACCAAGACCAAGATTGACAAGCAAGCTCTATAGTTCCCCAGCACAGATCTCCCTGGGTGTAGCTAATACATTCTCAGCAAAGTAAGATTTAAACAATTTTTAGTTTTGACCCATGGTTGATTAATATAACTATTTAAGACAAAATTTCAATTGTAAGTTTTCTGAAAATACTATTAATAACAATTGGGGGAACATCTCCTAAATATGGAGAATAGTCCTTATAAATTAAGGAAAATGCTAAAACTTAGGATATCAACGCTTCATCATAACTACGTTCTGCTGGGTTGTCTGACTTCGTAGCTTTCAAAACTACTTAAATATCTTCCATATCCAAAGGATGTTAGTATGTACAGTAAAATCTGAAACCTTTCCTCCTCTGACGCTGTTTTGTAGACAATGAAGCTGTCAACTGTTTTCTTAAGTGGTTAGAGTCCTTATTACCATGAGCATCATTTTTCTTCTCAAAAGGAAGTCAGTAGGGTGTTTTCTGGGGAAGGGTTATTTGGTTGGTTGGTTGGTTTTTGGTTGTTTTGTTTTGTTTTGTTTTTGAGACAGGTTCTCACTAGGTAGCTCAGGTTATCCCGGAACTCACTACGTGCACCAGGCTGTCCTCTAACTCACAGAGACCCGCCTGCCTCTGGGGTTATAAGCCTGGGCCAGCACACCTCACTAAAGTCAGTAGGTTTTAGTTGGAGAAAAGACTGCGTTTCTGCCTCTGATTCTTTGACCGTCTACACCGTAGACTCTACAGGAAGTTAGAAGGGCTTTGTGCTTTACTGTTAAAATCATGACTGGGTCAGTTCTCAGGTAGGTTTTGGTCATGGGTGGTGTGAGCATGGTTGCTGCTTGCAACAGTAGCATTCCATGCAGCCATAGGACAGTGAACTTGTGTGTTTAGGATTAATCAGAGCACTTTCAACTCCTCAAATCCTCAGAACTGTGCAGGCTAACTCCCCTACTCGGGGATATAAGTTAGTGGATCTGACAGCATCCTACCGCACAGAATCCTGGATGTATACGGTCTCACATTGATTTCAGTTAATGCCAGCTTTAGCAATGTCTTTCTTTTCTTGGTGGCACATAAAAACAATGTCTTACAATAACAGCCTCACCATCTAAGAGTCAACAAAATACTATCATTTAGTGGAGAAAAGGACATGAGAGCTCTTTTCCTAGAGCTGATATGGCCGTATGTAAGTTCTAGTGATCAGTTTTATGGTATCCTTGCAACAACCCTGCCATCCCAGGAAAGGGGGGGGGGGCTTTAGTGAGTTCTCACTATCAAGTTTCTCAGTGGATGCTGTGACACACTTAGAAGACTAAAGGATCAGATGCAGAACACACGTAAATGTCTCCCCTTGCCTTCTTCATGTCCAGAGAAGGATGTTTGTTGGTTTGTTTTCACGTTTATCTCTTTTTGAAGACGTTTTGAGGTTAGTGTACAAAGTATGAGGCTTTGTCATGATGTCTCCACACACATCATCATTTGTTCTCAGTTATCCCCCTCCCCATGGCCACCGTTCACCCCCTGCTGCAGCTTGCTCCCCTCCCCATGGCCACTGCTCACCCCCTGCTGCAGCTTGCTCCCCTCCCCATGGCCACCGCTCACCCCCTGCGGCTTGTTCCCCTTCTCCCCCTCCCAACCTATCAGCCTCCATTTCTACTTTTCTTTTCCATGTATTTTATTACCTTATTTCCTACTACTCTTGAGATTGCTTTCTTCCCCTTCTAGCTTCATAATCTCTGAACATGTGAATAAACACACACACACACACACACACACACACACACACATATTCATGTAATTTTAAACCTGGATTCTGCATCAAAGAGAAAACGTGTAGTATCTGTCTTTCTGGTTCTAGCTTATTTCCCTTAACACAGTGATTTCCAGTGCTTCCATTTTCCTGCAAATGTTGTGATTTTATTTTTCTTGAATGGCACAACTTATTTATTTATTTATTTATTTATTTATTTATTTATTTATTCATTCATTCATTCATTTATTTTGAGGCAGGGTTTCTCTGTGTAGCCCTGGCTGTCCTAGAACTTGCTCTGTAGACCAGGCTAGCCTCAAACTCACAGAGATCCACCCGCCTCTGCTTCCTGGGTGCTGGGATTAAAGGAGTGCACCACCACCTCCAGCTGGTGCGTAACCGTTTTGTTTGTTTTGTTTTTTGAGACAGCATTTCTCTATGTAGTTCTGCCTGTCTTAGAACTCACTCTATAGGCCAGGCTGGCCTCCGACTCTAAAGAATCGTCTGCCTCCTAAATGCTGGGATTAAAGGCATCCATGCCACCACACCCGGCTTGATGACACATAACATTTCATTGTGTATATGCACCATGTATTTTCTTTACGTATTCATCCTGTCTTAGGTTTATATTGCTGTGATGAAACACCATGACCAAGGCAACTGAGAAAAAGCATTTAGTTGGGTACTTGCTTACAGTTTCAGAGGGTGAGCCCATGCCCATTATGGGGGTGGTATAGCAGCAGACAGGCCAGAATGGCACTGGAGCTGGAGCTGAGGCTCATAGCTGATCCACAAGTTGCAGGCAAAGAGAGAGCAAAGCTGGGCTTAGCATGGGCTTTAGAAACCTCAAAGCCTATCTTTAGTGGCACACCTCCCCCAACAGGGCCCCACCTCCTAATCCTTCTCAAACAGTTCCACTAACTGGGAACCAAACATTCAAACATATGAGTCTATGGGGGCCATTCTTATTCAAACCACCACACATCCACTGATGAATATTGGTTCCACTCCCTGGCTATGGTGAATAGTGCAGTAACAAACATGGATATCGATTATCTCTGGGGTATGATGGTTTAGAATCATCTGGGTAAACAGCCAAGAACAGAATAGCTTAGTCCTAGGGAAGTAAAGGTTCCATTCTTGCCTCTCCTAAAGAATGATAATAAGCCAGTCAACCCAGTTGTAAAATCATAACCCCAGGGCTAGCAAGAGGGAGCAGAAGGTCAAGAGGAGCTTAGCACACATCCTGATTTCATGAGTTGGATCCCCGGGGTGCTCCTGGTGGAAGGAGAGAACCAGCTCCTACAAGTTGTCCTCTGACCTCCACACACATTCCGTGATATATGTCCACACATATAACACATGCAGAGACAGGGATGTAAAAAGAGAGAGAGGAAGGGAGGGAGGGAGGAAGGAAGAAAAAAAGAAAGAAAGAGAACAGAACCCAAGATAACTGGCTGTTCAGACCAGTCTTTGAAGGGGCAAAGCCACCATGATTTAAGACGGAAAAATAATACTTTATCTTTTGGTGTCTTTCCATGCAGAATTTTTTGAAGTTTGAGAAAGAGACACACTGGAAGATTCTTAATCCCTCTGAAAAGGGAGTTCGGTTGTTTTTTCTCAAGCATAGGTGTGCTTCTCTGTGAAGGGGGTGCTATATCTAGAATGCCTTGTCTCCATGTGCTGTTATTGACATGAAACTTAAAATGGAAAACACTAAAAGAGGCTGTTTTGTGACTGTGGGGTTAATAGTAGCGTTGGAACCTCACTTAAAGGATAGCAAGAGCAGGCATCTATTTACATTTTTTCAAAAAAACCATTCAAGGCCAATTTCCCTAAATGGTTTTATGTCACCACATCATGGTGAACCAAAAGCATTTTCATAAGTGATTCTCTTACATGCTTTGTGTTGGAAGTCTGAAAGGATTCTATGTATTGTTGCATAATAATAAAAAACACTAAGCAGAAATAGTTTTTCATGAGCAATGACAATTATACTTTTCCAAAGAGCCAACATTCTATTTAAGTCCATGTTTGGTATATTACATTATTATTTTCTTTGAAATATAGTAGGCACATGTGTTTTATGAGCATTTGAACATTGAACTATAACTGACGAGATGTTTCACTGTCTGCTTTAATGGTTAGAAAAGAAGCCTCTTCTAGGAAGATTGAAGATAAAGTCTCTCTAAAATGTACTGAAAACAAACCATCTTCAAGGAGTGTTGAAAATAAGGATGTCTTAACAAATCGGCAGTCTGACCCGTGGTCATCTTCCTACCTAAAAGAAAGTTCAGGTAACAAATGGCATGTCTTGCTGGGCTGAATAATTGTGGCTTCTCTTTTAGCCCAGCTATCCATGGCCTTTTGGACATGAGTTGACAACATTGTAGTTCTAAGGTGGGTCAAAGGAAGCAGTAATGAATGGTTCAAACTCATATACTGGGATACGTGGTATACAGCCAGAGAGGCATCTGTGATATATGTTATATAAGATGATCGTTACAGGGCATTTAATCCTAGAATGGGTTAAAACACTATGACAGCTTACCAAGCCAGAGTGCTTAGTACCGGTTTAAAAATCTGGATATAGTTGTCAAAGCAGACACTGACCTTTCTCTTAGGAAGTTCACGTTCTAGAGGGAGATCATCGGCCAGTTCTTAAAAAGTAGGTGTTCATCAGTTGAAGGATAGATACAGAAGGTGTGGCTTACTTACAGTTTGGACTTAAAAAAATAAACGAAATCATGTCATTTGCAATGTGGATGGAACTGGACATCTCAATATCAAATGAAACAAGCCAGGCAGAGAAAGACAGTGACTAAAAACGCTCTCATCAGTGGGACCAGTAGTTTAGACTGGAGAGGGCGTTACCACAAGCTGGGAAGAGAAGGGACAAAGGAGGGCTGAGGAAAAACCAGTCAGTACAGCTAGAGATAGGAGTCTAAAGTGCTGTTAAACAGTGGGATGGCTAGAAACGAGGAGAATGTTCTATTTCAACATCTGAGACCTGTGGACTTCGTGTCGCCAGAAGGAGGCGACACATTTGGTGCATCAACATTACAGGGTGCTCATGAGTACGGATCTTTTTTTTTTTTTTTAAGGTAAAGTTTCTCTGTGTAGCCCTGGCTGTCCTGGAACTTGCTCTGTAAACCAGGCTGGCCTCAAACTCAGAGATCCTCCTGCCTCTGCCTCCCGAGTGCTGGGATTAAAGGCGTAGACCACCACTTTCAGCTGAACGCAATTTTTATCAATCACTTGAAAAAAATAAACATTTTAAACAGCAATATGAAACACCAACACGAAAGATAATTTTAGGTTCTAAGAGGGGCCACCGTGAAATTAACGGACCCAGGAAAGAACACAGTGGACCCAGAGATTAGGAAACCTCTTCACAATGCTGAGTGTCTGTGAAGCGAGTGAGCCCATCCCTGTGATGTCACCCTTTATGACCTCCCTCTGATGACATCAGTATGGTGAGGTGGTGCACAGAACAGGTGTGCTTTGGAGGGGCAGGAGGTTGCCGTTCCATGGAGACTATGGATAACACAGAAGCAGGTAGATGGGGACCCTCAGAAGGGCTAGTGGCGCGTTTCAGGCTGACGCATTTGACTTTGAGCTGGTTTTCTCTTCTTTTTTGGGGTCTGTGTGTTCCTGGCCTGCCTACTCTGGTGCTCTTTCCTGAAAGTCGTTCTTTTCTATACAAGTGTTTGTACATCGTTTAGAGTACCTCATGGCCATGATCTCATCAAAGAAGAGACTCCACAAACACAGAGTCTTTCGAGAAGGGGCTGGGTCTAACTGGCTCCGTCTGAAAATATGAAATACTATACAAAGCCAAAGGCACACCCCATCGTGCTTCCCATGGGGGGCACACTAGAAGAAACAACGTATTCTTTTGAATTGCCCTCATAGTACATTTTAATGTATTTTAGGAAAGAATAATAGAACGTAGTTAAGAGCATCAATTCTAACCAAACTGACTCCCAGACCAAGTGGGGTTGCTACATGACCTTGAATAGGGGACCAAGTGGGGTTGCTGCATGACCTTGAATAGGGGTTGTTTCACCTTTTTTCCCTGTTTGTTTATCAGTAAATACAAATAGAAACACTACCCAGCTGGAGAGATGGCTTGGAGGGTAAGTGCACTGGCTGCTCTTCCAGAGGACCCAGGTTCAATTCCCAGCACCCACATGGCAGCTCACAACTCTCTATAACTGTAGTTCTAGGGGATCCAACACCCTCACACAGATATGAATGCAGATGAAACACCAATGAACACAAAATAAAATAAAGAACCATCTCAAAGAGTTAAAAGGAAAGAAAAGAGAAACACTACCCATCTCACTGGGAAGTTGACGGCAATAAATGAACTGATGTGTAGACAGATGATGTGTAGACAGATGGGAGCAGTTGTGATGGGTTTTGTGTGCTGGTTCTTTTAATATATCAGTTTCACAGATGCTAAGAGGATCCGGTCCGGATCAACATCTAAGCTTTCCACTGTTTCTTAGTTACGTGTGCTCTGTTTAAGGTGAAGCCGGCAAGGATTCGGTCCTTGCAAAGCAGGAGAAAGTTAGTGAATATTGCCTTCAGGACGTGGAGGAGAAGTTGTCGGATTCAACAGATGGCGATGGTGAAGAGGACACCAATGACGAAGATGAGGAAGGCCCCTCTAAAAAGGAGACTCGTGCCCCGCTAGAGTTAATGGCAGAAGTAAGTTTTTGCGTGTGTGTTATCACTAAAGATGCATACAATACCGAAGTAATTAAACAGGAGACTCTGTTATTAGGTAGAGTAAATGAGCTAGTATATATTCATTATTTTTAAATTAGCCTATTTCTTTGAGGTATCATCTCTCCCTAAACCTGGAGCTTGCATTTTTTGGCTCAGCTGGGAGCCAGCAAAGCCCAAAGATCCCCCTTTCTCCATCTCACCCCACCTACATCCAGAGCTAGGCTCACAGGCATGGGTAGAACTCATGGCTTGTTTCACAAGTGCTTGGATCAGAACCCTGGTCCTCCTTATGCCTGTGAAGCAAGCACTCGTAACCACTGAGCCTTCCGGCCAGCCCCCAGAACTTAATTATCAATGCTTCGATGACTATTAAAAGTGTATGGTGATTCAAGGAAGAAAACTAAAAATAACATCAGAACCTGGAAAAATTACACACAATGCAAGCTGAAGAAGCTAGCTAAAATTCAAATTAAAATAAATAAGTTACTATAACAAGCACTGGATATTTGAAAAATGCACAGACAAACCAATGCATATCATAATTTAAATGAAAGCAGAAAATCCTGGGCCTGGGGGTGCATCCCTGTGATCGCAGGGATGGTGGGATCTAAGGAAGGTGGGAGCAAGGAAAAATAAGAATTCAGTTCTCCTCTGCTACAGGAGATACCAGCCTGGGCTACTTGAGATCTCATCTCAAAAAAAAAAAAAGTTAAAAAAAAATAAAGTATAGTTACAAACGGTAATGAAAATAAAAATGTTGGGGTGGGAGAGATGGCTCAGCAGTTACGAGCACCTGTTGCTTTTGCCGAAGACCCGAGTTTGGTTCCTACGTGTGTACACCCACCTGGCAGTTCACCACTGCCTGTAACTTCCAGGGGTTCTGATACCTAATTCTGGCTTCTGTGGACACTAAATGTGCACATGGTGCACATACATACATGCAGACACTCACACATACACATCAAATAAAAGCAAAATTAAATTAATTTTTAAAGTGAGAATTCTGTTGCATGAGTAGACATGGTGTTTGTTAATATGTGAGGAAATGACAACATGGATTAGTGGTCATCAGAAAAGTTTCTCAGAGTTTGTTTACATTAAGGGAAACATTTCATCACACTTTTATTTATTAGTGGGGGTGGGCACGTGTGTTTCACAGTTCACATGTGGAGTCAGTTCTTGCTTTTCACTGTGTGGGTCCTGGGGATCGAACTTAGACCATCAGACTTGGCCACAAGCACCTTTACCAACTGAGCCATATCACCAGCCCAGGAAAACAATGTCTAAAAGCCTTAGGGTAGACTAAATGCTAAAGAACTGCTTCTTAAATTGGTAAATAGTTCTTTTTCCCAAGTCTGGAAGTGAGTGAGAAGTGTCTCCTCGTTTCTCAGGGGACCTGGCTCTTGTAGACCAGATACCTGCACTTGTATATGGTTCAAAAGCTTCCTCACACAAACAAAGACAGCCATCAAATAATAGGGTGTTTATTTTATTGGAAGTGATATAAAGAGCTAACAATACAATATTGTTCTAGTAAAAGTATACTCTAAGTAAAACTTCAAAGAGACTGGTCAGTGATGGCATGTCAGCTCAGTGGCAGAGCATGTTCTCAGTATGCACATGACCTGGGATGTCAGCTCCATAGTAGAACATGTGCTCAGTATGTACAAGGCCCAGCATGTCAGCTCGATGGTAGAGCATGTGCTTTAGTATGCACAAGACCCTGAATCGACCCCCTGCTCCCAATTCCCAGCAGATAAAGACTATTTAGTGCCATCGGGGGAAAGTGATCACAAATTGTGGGGTTTAAGTTTCTGGATAATCTCAATACATATGCACATAAATGCCCATTTATTTTTAAAATACCCAAAAGGAGTTGTTGGCTGATTGGTTAAAAGCATCGGCTGCTCTTGTAGACAGTCTGGGTTTGGTATCCAGCATGCACATGGCTGTTCACATCCATCCGTAACTCCAGTTCTATCGTGATGCACTCTTCTGACCTCCAAGGGCTTGCATGTGGTATACATATATACATGCAGGCAAAATGCTTGTGCACATAAAATAAAATATTTTTTAAAAAAATATAGAGAGATGTTAAAAGTAATTACATCTCTATATATTAGAAGTAGAAGTATTTTCAATTAGGGAGAGAATGTATTTATTTAGCTTATAAACTTCCTACTTGGCAAGTAGGTACTGTTTTTTAACCAGCAAAAGCAAAAAAAATAGTACAATCAAAATGATGATACCTCCGAAGTGCTGATAAATACTGAGTTACGTAGCGTTAGTCCACAGTGCTTTTCAGATTTATTTATTGTTTGTGTGTGCTTTCACGTGTTCCTGTGAACCACACACATGCAAATGTCCTCAGGTCAGAAGAAGACATTGGATCCCCAGGAACTGGAGTTACAGATGGTTATGAACCACGATATGGATGGTAAAAACAGAACCTGGGTCTTCTTGAGATCAACAGGTGCTCTTAACTGCCTAGCCATCTCTCCAGCCCTGACAGTCTGTTTTAAACTAGTGATAGTCATCATGGAAAACTGACCCTGAACCAAAGAAATACGTAAACAGTAAGACCAATGTGATACCAGTTGAATCAGCCTCCTCATTCTCAAGTTGCTAAGTAGCACACAGACCTTGTGGCTAGGCAGAAAGACTGGACTATCTCATCAAGCTCCATCACACATATTCAGATTACAGACTTGGGTGGAGAGATGGCTCAGTGGTTAAGAGCATTTCCACCTCTTCCGGAGGACTGGGAGCTTGGTTCCCAGCACCCACACTGGGTGGCTAACAGCTGCCTGTAACTCCAGCTCCAGGGGATCCAACGCCCTCTTCTGACCTCTGCAGGTACCTGCACTCACAGATGGCCTATATTCACACAGACATATACACACGAATAAAAATAACAATATTTAAATATAAAAATACAGAAGTGTGGTTAGTTGACTGACTACAGACTAACTCATGGAGAAGTGTGTAAACATTAAAAACAGAATAACTACTGGGTGGTGGCGGTGACGCACGCCTTTAACCCCAGCAGCACTCGGGAGGCAGAGGCAGCCAGAACTCTGTGAGTTTGAGGACAGCCAGGGCTACACAGAGAAATCCTGTCTTGAACCCTGCCCGCTCCCCAAAATCAGAATAACTAAGCATTAGTCAGTATTTTTAGGAAGTTTATTATAATTGCCATTGAAATTCTGTCTTGAAACCACTCATGTGAAGAATTTGTTTTCCAGTTCCTGAGAGCAGAAATGGGCCGAGACTACCAGCTGGCAAAGAAGTTATGTCAGATGAGTAAGTACAGAACACTCACCTCCTCCAGCCGTCCCTTTGTTTCTAGAAACAGATCCCATAATACGAAGACGGCTTGACTATCCCCGTCAAGTGAATGCTCTGCTAAGGTCTCAGGGATCCCTTAGGAAAAATGAGTTCAGTTATCTGTGGACTCACTGGGACTCCTAGGGTACTACTTTGTGTACTAAATCAAAGTAGATTAATAGACTGGTCACTGTCCTGGGAAACAGAATCATCATGACATAGGAGGCAGTCAGTCACTTTATGCTGCTGATTTCAGAAGAGTCAGGGGGTATGGGAGTCAACACTAACTGAACATGGGTTTATTCCACAAATGTTCAACCCTGCTTGGGTGCCAGGTGCTGTGTGAGATCCTGGAAAATCAGCAGGCCGCTGACAGCAATCCCACAGTCAGGTCTGATGTCGGACAGAAAGTAAACTAAGTAAATGTTGTGTCATGAATGGTAGGCGCTATGGAGAAACCAGAGTAGGGAAGAGGAAGGGAAGGTCCTAGGTGGTCAGACGTTTCCATCGCATGGCCTGGGAGGCCTCCCTCGGAGCTTGAGGACAGAACTGAACTGTAGGAAGCCAGCCTGTGAGCATCGAGAGGAATGAGGTACAGAGCAGGGTGAAGTACAGCTGTGTGGAGAGGGGAGGGGCCTGAAGGCGGCCACCAGAGACCTGGGTGGAGAGGGGAGGGGCCTGAAGACAGCCACCAGAGACCTGGGTGGCTCAGGCTGGGCAAAGGCAGCTGCTAGCATCTGAGGCTAGAGTCACGACCTGGGCACAGGGCTGGGTGGGCGACACAGACCTTTCCCCAGCTGAAGGAACTTGGTTTGCTCTGAGGTAGGTGGAGAACCCTGGAAGCTTTGAATCAGGAGATATCTGGTCTACCTTATCTTTCTATCTGGGGTTCGGTGGTTAGAATTACACAAAATAGTTGGTGTTTTCTTTGTGTTTAAGCAATGGGCACTTTGCCGAGTTTCTTAGATCTGTACTTGATAGTTTCATCAAGTTCAAAATGTTCTTGGTCATTACCTTTTCACACCACTTCTGTCCAGATTCTTCATTCCCCTTTTTCTGCAGTTACATGCAAAAAAACAAAACAAAACAAAAACAAACTTGTTTAGTGGTACCTGACATCCATCTTATACTCAGCTCAGCTCTGAATTTAACATTTTAATTCTGTGCTTTATTTTGGGCATTTTCTGTTGACCTACTTTTTAAATTTTCTTATCCTCCTTCCCTCTGTCCATTCTGCTGTTAAAACTATCCAAGGAGTAACCCGGGCGGTGGTGGCGCACGCCTGTAATCCCAGCACTCGGGAGGCAGAGCCAGGCGGATCTCTGTGAGTTCAAGGCCAGCCTGGTCTACAAAGCAAGTTCCAGGAAAGGCGCAAAGCTACACAGAGAAACCCTGTCTTGAAAAAACAACAACAACAACAACAAAAAACTATCCAGGGAGTGAATTTCGGAGATTCTATTTTCCAATTTTACAATGTTTCTTTAATGATTTGGAAAGATCCCAGCTCTTTACTAGTATTGAATATATTTCCAACCACTCTATCCACCTTCTCCCCTCCCCTCCCTTGCCCTCCCCTCCTCTTCTCTTCTCTTTGAGACAGAGTCTCTGTATGTAGCCCTGGCTGTACTATAACTCACTGTATAGATCAGGCTAGCCATGTAAATAAGGCTGGCCCCACCTTTTCTTCTAATATGGCGGTCATGGTTATTTTAAAAAAGAAAATGGCAACTCTATTCCTCACTAATAACAAGACCCAAAACGGTGACTGTGATGGACTTTAAGTAAAGAGAATGCATAGCCCAGGGATGGGAGGGTGCCTTGTCAATTCTTGCAAGAACTTTTGACCTTTTGAGTCTTTCAAGTAAAATGTTTGGTGTCCCACACAGAATTTCCAATCAGAAGGAATCTTCAGAGAGTAGAATGTCCAGTAAGTCCAACTTTAAGGGGCATGGTGAGAGTCAAACCCAGGGCCATGCTCAGGCTAACATGTTTTCTACACTCGAGCATGCCTTGTCCCCCGCCCTCTAATTTTGTAAGGGAACTGAGGCAGAAGGAGGTAGGCAGCTGCCGTGTCCCTCTTCACAGTGGACAGTGGTACAGGAGGGTGGGACCCAGCCTCTTCCTCCAGTATCATCCTCCTCCCCAGCACGAAGTGTAGACGTGAGTGATTCTACCTCTCTCGCTCCCAACTCCATGGATTTCTTATGAAGCCCAGTGAGGGGGAAATTATTCTTTTCTTTTATTTCTGTACCCATCAGTCATTTCAGCAAGCTTGGCCGAGGCTTACAAAGTCTCAGCACCAGTATCACACCCATCAGCAGTTCTGACCCACAGCCCCGCAGTGCATGGCACAGATGTTAGACACTCAGTGAGGTGCTGGTGACCTGCTGTGAACTGTGAAGATCCACTTTAGGTCCATGGGACTGAAAAGTTTAAACTGATCTGTCTTCACAAGATTATATCCTCATGACATTTCTTCTTCCCGGCCCTCTCCCTTTTCCTTCCTTCCCTCCTGCAGTTACGCATTGAACACATGTTCTGTCCCAACATTACGCCGGAAAGAGACCCGGGATCCAGGCCCTGTTTGCTAAGCAGTTTGTTGTCTCATCTCGGTTCACCCGTTTACACTGCTCACATTTCTGCCTCCTAGTACTTGTGTCCAGGTGTAAAAGGGTCCGCTTCCTGTCCCTCTGTCTGTATTCATTTACTCTGACGTTTAGGGGCTCCTGCTATGTGATAGACACCTGAGTGAGGATACAGCTGTCCTTTCTGGTTTAGTTCCCCCACACTGAGAAACAGAGACACAGCTCTCTGCTTCACCACCCCAGACCCTCAAACCAAAGAAAGCCCCCCCCCCCATGTCGGAAACTATCCACTAATCCTGGAGCCATTCTTTTAAAATAATAATACTAACGACAATACCAACTAAGACATATTTGCGGTTCTACCACGCCCCAAGCCCTGAGCCACTGTTACAAAGTAGCCAGTATGGTGGGCAGGAGGAGGAGCCGGAAGTGCAGGCTTGAATACTGGAACAGGACCCTGAAGCATTCCTGTAGGGGTTTTTTCTTTCCCAGGGGCTCAGATTGGATTCTGTCTCCCTTCCAGGGGTCCATCTTAGTAAACAACCTCTAACACAAAATCCTAGGAATAGTCACTCTCTGAGTGAGGACAGCTAGAACACTAGACTAGGTGTTGCTGGCCAAGCTTTAAAACTCCCATTCCTTCACTCTCTGGAAACTGATGGCTGGAGCAGCCAGGCTGAACCACAGGAATAGCTAATCTCGTGTTTGATCCTGTGAGATAATCCTAATTCCAACAGGAAATTTTCTCAATTGTTCTGAGGATTGTTAACCTGTTCCACCAAAATGAGTCCATTGTCAAAGACATTTGGAAACCCACAGTCTGAATATGTGAATGATTCAGTGAATCCCGTGGTTACCCCTCCATGTAAACCTTACCTCGTCAGCTGTATTTGACTTAGTTTGTCAAGCGGATGTGTAAAGAAGCACATCAGAGAAACTGTTCTAACAAAGAGGCTTTGCCTCACAGAAATAATTTAGACTAACGATAGGCATATTTCAGTCTAACTTAAAATATAGAAAGAAGTACTTTTACAAGAAAATAATGGTTCCGAAGACACCCAAAGTCCTTGAAAGGAACCTTGAGCAGGCCCATAGTTCTACTCAGACTGACGGTAAATGTTAGTCACATTTAGTGGAGTCAGAAATAGTCACTGGCATGGTGAATTGAGGCGAGGGCCAAGGGATCACTTCCTCTGAGCCAGTGAGCCTTGAACCATCCACAGTCAGCTCTCGCACACAGGCAAAGGAATAGCACACTTGGTATTTCAGTGCCCCCTGGGGGCCACCAAGATACTGCAAGAGAGTGAAGTGGATGTGTGGAACAAATACAGAGCACTCCTCGAGGCAGGTGGAAAAGAAGACGAGGGTGGTCTGCAGGGTTTTGAAAAATAGGGGGACTCCAAAATGAAACTGTGTCCTCTAGGATATTGGTAGCATATCAACAAGCCCCCGGAAAGCAGGCCAAAGGAAGTAACACAGTTAGAGCGAGCATTAGCACAAGAGAAGATTACAAGAAATTAAAAAGGGCCCTGAAGAGGGGAGATGGTTGAAGCAGGCCGTGTGGCTGGGGTAGGGACTGGGGGGAAAGTCGTCAGAACAGAGAGAAAGTATGGTTTCCCTACTTGAAACCCTGGCGCTTCTGTCATGGAAGAGTTGGTACAAGGAAGAAAACTACTCTTTGGGGATAGATGGGACCTTTATGTCGACGCCGTCATGCAGACACGGGTTGGATGAGATTGGAAGGGGGTAGCCGACCTCCTCACCCAAGTCTCCGAATTTGGAAACTGTTGCCCTTTCGAGAATTTGATCCTCAGAGTCCTTCCATCGCTGGCCTGGGAAAAAAGCTGTACTGAGGAGATTGTGTTCTTTCGATAGGAGGTAGGAAATCCAGGGAGCATCATTTCTCTTATAAAACACCGCATATAAGTGGAGAGTTTTCTTCGTACTCAGATATACCTGGGATAGAATTATGGAAATTCTTGTTTTATTTGCTTTCGCCTGCTCTGATTGACAGTTTTAGTCTGTCTCTGTCTCACTCTAAGGGGCTGTTTGCTCAAACACTAGATATTAATAACATGTTCTGTTATCTATTTTCAGTCCTAATCTATGAACCAGAAAATCCTGTGGCCAAGGAATTTTTCTCACTTATTGAAGAAATATTGCTAAAGGGTAATTTTAAAATTTGAAATTTGTTTTTTCCTCATAGAACCGTAAACAGTGGGTTTTTTTTTTAGTTATTATGATAGATTGTGAAAATACTTCTTCAGGAAATATTAAAGAATGTCTAAATCAGTGGTTCTCAACCTTCCTGATGCTGCGGCCCTCTAAAACAGTTCCTCATGTTGTGGGGACCCCCCCACCATAAAATTATTTTCGTTGCTACTTCATAACTGTCATTTTGTTACTGTTATGAATTGTGGTGTAAACATCTGATATGCAGGATATCTGGTATGCGACCCCTGTGAAAGGGCGGGTCAGCCCGCTGAGGGGTCGAGACCCACAGGTTGAGAACCACTCGTCTAAATGGCTATTTTGAATGGTGTAGTAAAATCAGCTTGTCTTCTATGAGTGAGAAAGATGACTGCCCCATTCTCTCCGTGGGATGGAACTGTCCAAACAAAGCCAGCTCCCTTAAACATGGAAAAAGCAGAACATGTAACCATGCCCATATGTTACAGTGTTACGTGTGTCTCACAATTTCCAGAGATGCCAGGACTCTCTAAATTAACCTAAGTCAAGTTCCTTTATTCTATTTCAGAATTTCTTTAACTTTTTACAAAGTTTGGTTGGTTTGTTTTTGAGACAGAGTCTCAAGGACAGCCCTGAAATCATGATCCTCCTGCCTCAGCTTTTCTTTTCTTTTTTTTTTTTTTTTTTTTTTTTTTGGTTTTTTCGAGACAGGGTTTCTCTGTGTAGCTTTGCGCCTTTCCTGGAACTCACTCTGTAGACCAGGCTGGCCTCGAACTCACAGAGATCCGCCTGGCTCTGCCTCCCGAGTGCTGGGATTAAAGGCGTGCACCACCACCGCCTGGCACTGCCTCAGCTTCTTGAGTTCTGGGATTACACATGTACCACCATGCCTGGCTTTTGAAGGATTTCTTTGCCAATAGTAAAAGTTATTTTTACAGACCTGTGTGTTAATTTTGAACCCACAAACATCTACCTGGTAGTCAACATAAATATGTTGACTTTCTTGTTCTGTTTTGATCCTGCACCAAGTTAAGCTCAATGTCTATATTCCTCAAAATACATGTTTCGTGGTACAGGGAGCTGAGATGTGAGAGTTTTCGGAGGGCGGGAACGTCGGAAACGCAATTAGCGTCTCTTTCCTTCTGTGGCAGAGAAAGCTCAGAAGCGTGAGGAAGACGACGAGGACAGTGAGGAGGACACTAGCAGTGAGAGCGACGCGGAAAGCAGTGAGGATGGGAGTGACGACAGCTCCGATGAGTGTGAAGACGGGTCCTGAGGGTCGCTGCCGTGGAGAATTATTTTCAAGAGTGTATGCCATGCAAATGCAAATATAAAGAAGAGAGCCGCTGCTTAGTGTGACTGTGGTTTCTTCGCTGCAGAGTTCAAGGGATCTGTGTTCTTAGTTTGGGCTCCTTGCTCATGTTTAGGCTTAGGCCAAGGCAAGTCACTTAGAGAGGGAAGTAGGGGAGGCCATACAACGTGCGAGGGACACAGTGAATGCTCTGCATGCTTTATTTACTTTTTTTTTTTTTTGGTTTTTCAAGACAAGGTTTCTCTGTGTAGCTTTGCGCCTTTCCTGGAACTCACTCTGTAGCCCAGGCTGGCCTCGAACTCACAGAGATCTGCCCGCCTCTGCCTCCTGAGTGCTGGGATTAAAGGCGTGCTCCACCGCCGCCCGGCTGCTTTATTTACTCTTAAAACCCTAAGTAGTGTGTTACTGTTCCCATTTCACAAGGGAGAAAAGTAAGGCATGGTGAGGGTGGTTTCTCGAATGTGAGTCACCTATTTATAGGGTCTGGATCTGCCTCTGTGACATCATGATTCAACAACTGTGTTTTCAGTGACTACCACAGGAAGCCTTAAGGCATGGTGAGGGTGGTTTCTCGAATGTGAGTCACCTATTTATAGGGTCTGGATCTGCCTCTGTGACATCATGATTCAACAACTGTGTTTTCAGTGACTACCACAGGAAGCCTTTAAAAACCCATCTGTTTGCGTAGCTCATCCTCTCCTCCCTGGAAGAGAAACAGGACTTTGGTACTTCTCATGGTTGTGTCCCGAGCCACTGGTAAGTAGCTGGAAAATAACAGTGTGTCTGTATACAAATACAATCTCCAATGAATAAATGAAATGAAAGATAAATGCTTGTGTTTTTATGCAACACTGGAAAAGCTTTTTACTTACGTATTCTGTATTTCTGAAGACTTACTTTAGTGTGTGTGTGTGTATGTTGTAACAAAAAGAGGCCATGATTTTGAGAGGGATCAAGGCAGGTGTGGACCCCATAATCTCATAGGGAGTGGCATTATTAGGAGGTGTGACTTTGTTGGATGGATACGGCCTTGTTGGAGGAAGTGTGTCACTGTGGGGGTGGGTTTTGAGGTTTCCTATGCTCAGGATACTGCCCAGTGTCTCAGTTGACTTCCTGTTGCCTGCAAGGTGTAGGACTCCCAGCTATTCCTCCAGCACCATGTCTGCCTGCATGCCTCCATGCTCCCTGCCTTGATGATAATGGACTGAACCTCTGAAACATAAGCGAGCCACCCCAATTAGATGCTTTCCTTTATAAGAATTTCCATGGGTCACGGTGTCTCTTCACAGCAATAGAAACCCTAAGTAAGACAGCAGGGTACAGGGGAGGGATTGTAGGGAGGAACGGGAAGGGGGAGAGTGAATTAGTAATTATTTTTATTTTAAAATTGTTCTAAACTAAAAATATATTTTAAATTTATTATTATTATTATTATTATTATTATTTTGGTTTTTTTCGAGACAGGGTTTCTCTGTGTTGCTTTGCGCCTTTCCTGGGACTCACTTGGTAGCCCAGGCTGGCCTCGAACTCACAGAGATCCGCCTGGCTCTGCCTCCCGAGTGCTGGGATTAAAGGCGTGCGCCACCACCGCCCGGCCTAAATTTATTATTTTTAAATGGAGGCTGGGGAGAGGGCTTAGCAATTAAGAGGAATGGATGCTCTTCCAGAGGAACCAGGCTTAGTGCCCCGCACCCGCACTGTAGCTTACAACTGTAACTGCAGTTTCCTGGGATCTGTGCTGGCTAATTTTATGTCAACTTGACACCAGCTGTACTCATCTAAAGGAATGAAACCTCAACTGGAAAATTGTCTCCACAAGATTGGGCTGTAGGCAGGCCTGTAGGGCATTTTCTTCTTTAGTGATGTGGAAGGCCCAGCCCATTGTGGGTGGAGACACCCCTGGGCTTGTGGCCCTGGGTACTATACACTGAGAAAACCATAGCAAGCCAATTAGCTGCACTCCTCGGGTGGCCTCTGCATCAGCTACTACCTCCAGCTGACTTTCTTCGATTATGAACTGTGATATGGACATGTAAGAAAATAAACCTGCCGGCGGTGGTGGTGGCACACGCCGGTAGGATTTGCTGAAGGAGGCGGAGACAGGAGGATTACGAGTTCGAGGCCAACCAGGGCTACACATTAAAAAAAAAAGAAAAGAAAAGAAACCCTTTCCTCTCCAAGTTGCTTTTGGTCATGGTGTTTCATCACAATAGTAACCCTAACTAAGATGGTATCTGGCTTCTGCAGGCACCAGGCATCCACATGGTGCAGATATATATGCAGGCAAAATGCTCATAAATCTTTAAAAATTTAAAAAACGAAAGCCCACTGGGTATTAGCTGGCATTGTGGTACACACCCATAATCCCAGTACTCGGGACGTAAAGGCAGGAGGATAAGGAGTTTGAGGATAGCCTCAACTACATGAGACCCTATCAAAAAAATAAAATGCTTAGAAATAAACATAGACAAGGAAGTGAAAGACCTCTGCAATGAAAACCGAATAAATACACACAGGCACATGTAATTACAGGCATGAGCCACCGCACCTATTTTATTTAGTTCAAGTATATATTTTATTATTATTATTATTATTATTATTATTATCATCATCATCATCATCATCATCATCATCATTATTGGGTTTTCGGGACAGGGTTTCTCTATGTAGCTTTGCTCCTTTAGCTTTGCTCCTTTCCTGGAACTCACTCTGTAGTCCAGGTTGGCCTCGAACTCACAGAGATCTGCTTGGCTCTGCCTCCCGAGTGTTGGCTCTGCCTCCCAGTGCTGGGATTAAAGGCGTGGGCCACCACTGCCCAGCTCAAGTATATATTTTGTTAACTTTCATGGGCTCCTTACCATAACCCTTGTAACTACATTGTATCAAAGTTTTGGGCCTCAGGTCCCTCAGTGCATCTTTGTAATAAAAATTATTCTAAGCCAGCCCGGTCTGCAAAGCCAGTTTTAGGATAGCCAAGGCTGTTAGAGAAACCCTGTCTCAAAAAACCAAACACCAAAACCAAAAACAGCAAAAACTTTAAATGTCTTGGCAAGAAACAGATCACTTGGAAATGACCATTAACTTGCCTACTACTCCACAGTGTGCTCAAAGGAGAGTCCTGCCCATCACACATCAGAGGGACCAAAATCAATTTCTTCCTACTGGTGTCGGGCAAGTTTAGCCAAAGGTGGGCCAGAGTAAACCCGCTGACCACCTCCCCAAAGTGTTTGTCTTAACTCAAAACCTGCCAGTGAAAGAAGAGAGGAGACAGTAAGATCAAATATTACAGCTGGTGGGGTTGGGGGCCCAGGCCTTTGATCCCAGCACTCAGGAGCCAGAGGCAGGCAGATCTCTGAGTTCAAGGCCAGCCTGGGCTACAGGGCGAGTTACAGGACAGCCAGGGCTACATAGAGAAACCCTGCCTCAAAAAAAGAGAGAGAGAGAGAGAGAGAGAGAGAGAGAGAGAACAAAGTCACTAGGTGAAATTAAGAGAACACAGAGATTTGTCTCAGACTAAAACTTGCTAGCCTTGCTCCCTAGCACCTGCTAAGGCAGTGCTTGTATATTGTTTCAATCCACTATGCCACGTACATCCTTCAAGAAGGCTTCTGTCTGGCGAAGGAGGACAGCTCTTCACTCTCCCTCCCTCTGCTTTCTCATCTGGATCTAGAGGCACAAAAAAACCTAAGCTGGCCCAACAGAGATCAGCCATGCTCACTCGGCAGTTTCCGGGTGTCTTCCCTCCCTGCTCAAAACCCCAGACGTCCACCAGGAGATGTTTGGAATGTGTCTATTCAGCTGTACAAAACAAAACCAACAAAACTTGAGTGGTTCCAGTGATGAAGGAACATCCTGTGCTGCGGCACAGTGGTAAGAGAGTGACAACTTGGTGTTTGTGTATATGTGGTGGTGGGGGGGGGGGGGGTGCATGAGTGTGTGTAGGCCAGAGGTTGACACTAGGTGCCTTCCGATAGTGCTTTCCACCTTGTTCTTTGAGAGCTCACTGAGCCCAGTGGTCTCCAGTTGGTTAGACTGACCAGTGAGGTCCAGAAATGAGCGAGCGGTAAGGTTACGGGTGCACACTGCCGTAGCCGGCTTTTTGGGTGGAGTTTAGGGATCTGAACTCGTGATCTCAAGGGCCTTATGATCTCATGGCAGGCATGTTACCAGCTCAGCTGTCTCTCCAGCCCCAGAACTTACCTTAGTGGGGAGAATCAATATTAAATAAGGTAAGTAAACCATTTGGAAGTGATAGAAGTGTTGGGGAAAGAGTGTCCTAGAGAATCACTCTGTTAAAGGATGAAGGAAGGCCTCACTGAGAAATGAACGTTAGCGCAAAGACTGGAGTGTAGATGGACAAACCATGCACACCCAGGGGAAGAATCCTCAGACAGGTGATAGTTACAAAGCCCCCTGAGATGGGAGGATGCCTAAAATATTCAGGAAAACAGCGAAAAGAGCAGGGTGGCTGGGCAGAGTGATAATGAAACAGCATGGGCAAGTTAAACGTCCAGAACACTGGGGTCCGAGTAGTCATGTAACAGGGCCCCAGACCTTAGCATGACTCCATGACTGACGGACTGTTCAGGCCTAGGAACCCAGCACGTAGACAGCACTGCATGCCAAAAATGAGAACAAAGATCTAATCCATCGAAGTCCACAGTTCTGGGAAAGTCTCCAATATACTAACCTTGTTTTTTAACTTCTGTAGTTCTGCTTCTGGCTAACTGTTCTTGCTAACTGAAGTGTGTTAACTCCGGATGTGGTTTTTTGATGAAGAGCTCACCCTGAGAAAGGCCTGGGACTATACTCTGGTCCCAAACATCCAGTGTAGTCAGTCATCATCTAATAAAGACCATCCATTGGCTTGAACTGGTCTTTGGTGGATACCTCATAACAGGAACACTGCGGACACCTGGGCTCCGAATGTGACAGCAGCAGTAGAGACCTGTGCCTTGACCGTAGGCATGGACTCCAGAGAGCCTTGTGTAGAGGAAATCCACCATGGAACCCAATGTTTCACACCATTGGAAGGAGAATGGGGGTAGTGGGAGCAGAAGCCGAGGTGCGGATGAAGTTTTTGAAAGTAGACCCAACAATTTACCAAGATTGAAAGGGCAGAGCCAGGGATAACTCCAAGATACTTGCTTAAGCCAGCTGGAAGGGTTGAGATGTCTCAGCTAGTCACTTACTGAGGTGGAAAAGGTCATAATAGGAACACGTTTGGGGGAAGACTTGAGAGTTGAATTTGGGATACTTTAGAGTGCATACTATTAACAATCTAAGTGAAGAACTCCATAAACTACATGAACCTGTAATGTTGGATGAGATATGAATACTCAAATAAAAATGGCATTTAAAGTCACATGACTACATCACGGAGAGAAGGAAGATAGAAAAAGATTCAAATTGCAAACCCCATAGAAACCCATCATGGGGCTCCCTTCCCCTCCCAGGTGAGTCCGAATCCCCCATCAGAACATTGTCTTCTCCAGAAATTAAACCTCTGTGAGTCCGACGACCTTTACATCACTAAGAGGAGGAGCCCAGGCCCATCCCTGAATGATCAGCCGCTCTGCTGAACAGAGAGCAACAAAATGAATGGCTGATGGGCATAACTAGCGAATTCAATGGGCGGGAGGAGGGGTGGCGGGGACTGATGTGCGTCAGCCCGCTGTTGAACCAAGATGGAGGAGCAGCAACAGCCTGATGGAATGCTACCAACAGGCACCACTGAACTGACGGAAGGGGTGTGCCGACTTCAGCCGAGCCAAGCCCACGCAGCTGGTGCTAGACTCCATTTTACTGATGAGACCATTTACAGCAATTAAATGACAGCTGAGAAGTGAAATGAAGATGCAAAGTCAGAGGCGATGAGATGGCCCAGGAGGTAAAGATGCTCACCACCAAGGCTGAAGACCTGAGTTCAAGCCACAGGACCCACAGTGATGAAGGAGGGAACCCAAGCATCAAAATTTGGCCTCTTGGCCAGGGGTGGTGGCGCACACCTTTAATCCCAGCACTCAGGAGGCAGAGGCAGGAGGATCTCTGTGAAAGGCTAGCCTGGTCTACATAGAGAGTTTGAGGACAGCCAGGTCTGTATAGAGAGACCCTGTCCCAAAGAAAAAATTGTCCTCTGTCACCTGACCGTTATGTGTGTACTGTAACGTGGGCATCCTCTGGTACACACACACACACACACACACACACACACACACATACACACACACACACACACACACACACACACACACACACACACACAAATGAAGTAAATATGCTAAAAAGAGATTTTTTTTAAAAAAAGCGTGAACTTCAAGTCTGATTGATTTCAACGTTTTTTGCTCTCTCCAGATGAAACTTAACTTTCCTTTAAGACCCCCACCAGGACTTGGAGAACATAACATTCACAGCATGAGAAGAGATATAAAAATATAACATTATTTCATATGAATGAAACTTGGTCTGGATTCTTCTGAAACACTAATCCTCTTCTTGCAGACCCCCTGAGAGGATGGTTTTTTTCCAGGTCAAAGTGTTATTAGTGGCAGAACCAGAAGGCATCACAGAGCAGAGCAGAGGGCACTGGGGATGCGGGGAAATGAGAGAACCGCCTTCCCACTCCCCCCAGCACGTGGTCTGCTGAGCCCTGGAACCTGTCTGGCTTTAAGTTGTCTCAGATATAAAGCAGAGGACGCATGGGAATTAGATGAGAATCCTTAAAACACACAGGAAGACAAACGGGGCTGGAGAGACCGCTCAACAGTTAGGATCACTGGCTGCTCTTACAGAGGCCCAGGTTCGATTCCCAGCGCCCACATGGTGGCTTACAACTGCCTGTCACTCCAGTTCCATGAGATCAAATACCCTATTCTGACCCCTGTGAGCACCAAGCATGCATGTGGTACATATACATACATGCAGGCAAAACATTCATACACATTAAAATAAATCTTTTAAAAAATAAAATAGATACACATGATCTCTATTAATTTTTCACTTGTGATATATAGAATGCTATTTCTCCTAGTCATGCTGATAGAAAGACCGAGGGACAGAGAGACAGAAACACAGGTCTCTAAACACCCTCCGTAAACACTCACCTCCATCAGGCTAACAGTAAGCAATCCTGGGACTCTGTTACCAATCAGCTGAGGGATCTTGTTCTTGTTGTTGTTGTTTCGAGACAGGGTTTCTCTGTGTAGTTTTGGTGCCTGTCCTGGATCTCGCTCTGTAGAGCAGGCTGTCCTCGAACTCACAGAGATCCGCCTGGCTCTGCCTCCTACGTGCTGGGATTAAAGGTGTGCACCACCACCGCCCGGCTCAGCTGAGGGATCTTTTGCTCCGTTCTGATGGAAGCTACAAAGAAACACTCTCCTCAGCGTGGTGTCTCTAGCTTCTGGTGTTGGGATCTAGAACTCTTTGGCTCTGGGCTTTAAGTGCCGATGGCCCAGCACCCAGCTGCTGGTGTGACATCTCTGGGCTAGGGATGTTGGGACCCGCTGCTCTCAGTGCTATGTAGCTCCGTACAGCTAGCCTTGCAGAAGTCAGCTGCCGGGGTCTTGTGGGCTTGGCTCCTCCCAGCCCTTTGCCATCTGCAGTTACAGCTCTGTCATCTTCGCAGCACTGTGCAGTGCTTCTAATATCCGCTGGCCCGACTCTCCCCAGCGTCAGCCCTCCCTCCACAGTCTCTGCTGTGGACCACTCTCTGGGGCTTTAACTCCCATCCACTTCGCAGTGCCTGGAGCTGTGCTGGGGGAGGAGTGCCTAAGAGTTGTCCATCCATTCCTCCAGTTACCAGCTCCAATCTGACAATGGTAGTTTGAATGTCATTAGCCCCCACTAGCTCATAGGGAGCGGCTCTATCAGGAGGTGTGGCCTTGTTGGAGGAAGTGTGTTACAGTGGGGGCGGGCTTTAAGGTCTCCTATGCTCCAGCTACGTCCAGTGACACAGACCACTTCCTGTTGCCTGTGGGGGGTGCCAAGACGTAGGACACAGCTCCTGCTCCAGCACCATGTCTGCCTGCATGCCACCATGTTGCACCATGATGATAATGGACTAAACCTCTGAAACTGTAAGCCACCCCAATTGAATGTTTTTCCTTTATAAGAGTTGCCATGGTCATGGTGTCTCTTCACAGCAATAGAAACCCTAACTAAGACAATGACCCACCTGAGATAAAGACTAGACAGTGAAAAACACCAAGGCGGTGGTGCGGTGTGTTGAGTCTAGGCTACACAGGGTAAACAATGCACTGGATGAGGCCCAGATGACTGCCTCATACCTCCCACCTACTCAGAGAAGAATGAGAGAGGGCTACTTGTATAACTTCTACTAACCACGACCGTTCTGCTTAGCCATGCAGTCTGGAGCAGACATTCTCAACCCACCCACCCCAGCTGGCGTGGGTAAAGGAGGTGTTCCTCCCTACCTAGATTGAGGACCTCACGGGGACACCCTGTTGTCACCGTGGGCAGAACGGCCTGAGGATCATCAGAAGTTGTTGTGGTGAAAGTGAAGACGCCTGGGGTCCTTTCAGGGCATCCGAAACTGCTGCGACTGAAGCAGAGACTCCCGAAGTTTGGCGGCTTCCAAGAAGTCTTCGGTCCTTCCCGCAAGTGAGATGAAGTCTCCTGACTTATCTGCTACTGGCTTCACAGTCTCCTTCAGTCATTCAAAATCGTCGGCAGGGATGGGGAAGCAGGACATCAGTTTCTCTGCTCAGGCTTGAGCAGTGTGAGCAGAGGTGGGGACGGTCACCACGAGGTTTTGGAGACTCTCCCAAGTGACTCCTCCCCTTACCATGAAGATGACAGGGGTTGCTGTTGCCCTGTTCTCCAAGGGCAGCGGCAACAAAATCCTTCATAGCCCTGCTGGACTTGGGAACTGTGGAGTGAACAGAAGGTTCTGTACAACCTCCTTGGACACTGCTTCTGCTCCAGCTGCCCTCTGATGGAGGGGGAAGGGACCCACAACTCTCCGTAGGTAGCCTCACTGCTCCAGCCTGGCAGCTTCAGTCATGGTGTTTAGTTTAAGAATTACATCCATGAATAGAATACATTTTGATTAAATCTACCTCCCCATTCTCTTCCCTCCGACTCCTCCAGTACCCCCAAGAATCACTTTTCCTTCCTAAACACCTGTACTCTTTTAAATCCACTGAATCCACTTCGTATGTGCCAGGGTGTAGGGTCATCCCCTGGAACATGGGCAGCCTAGCTTTAGTCATTTTACAATGCAAAAATGTTAAGTTGTGTTGACAAAGATTTGCCATAAAATTAACATTTTCTTCGAGGAACTTCAATAACAATTGACCTCCAGCCAACACTCTCAGGGAGGCTTGAGTCTTCTTCCTGTCTCAAGAGATGCCAAAATTCCCTGAATTCCATCATGGCTCCCCTTAACCTTCTTGATATAAAAGACAATAGCAATCTGCTGTAGCCATGATACTGATGCATAGCACATCACCCCAAAACTCATGAGTTTGAAAATCAGTTTCATACCAACGTCCAAAACAAATCACATGGCCAAACTCAACATGGAGGAGAGGGCAGAGAGGCGAAGAACTTTGGAGGCTCCTCCCACTCTGGGACTTATCTGTAGAGTTGAAATAAGTCTATAACCCCAGTGAGAAGATAATGATTCCCATTTAATCCTTACATTTACGAGCTGTTAAAAAAAAATTCAGTTCAGCAGAACGGTGGCAGCGCACGCCTTTAATCACAGCACTCAGGAGGCAGAGGCAGGAGGATCTCTGTGAGTTTGAGGCCAGCCTGGTGTACAGAGTGAATTCAGGGATAACCAGGGATACACAGAGAAACCCTGTCTTGAGGGGGAAAAGATGCTTAAATGGATCTAAAGGATCCCTGGCTCACCCGATCAAAGAAAGCAGGACTTTGGCCCCCCACCTGGAACTATGATGGATCTACCCTCACTATGTGAGGGAAGCCTACAGCATGATTGCCGCAAGCCCAATGAACTGTTCAATATAATCCCTTCACATAAAATGGACTGACAGGGGCTGGAGAGATAGCTCAGTGGTTAAGCGCACTGACTGCTCTTCCAGAGGGACCGGGGTTCAATTCCCAGCACCCACATGGCAGCTCACAACTGTTTAACTCCAGTTCCAAGGAACCCAGCACCCTTACACAGGCATACACAAGACAAAACATCAATGCACGTCAAATGAAAGTAATTTAAAAATGAACTGACGTGCTGTAGAATATTATTTAAGGTATGTTACTTTTGTTTACGTTGCATTTGTTTAACTCTGTGAAGCTGTGTTACTGTGCCTGTCTAAAACACCTGATGGTCTAATAAAGAACTGAACGGCCAATAGCAAGGCAGGAGAAAGGATAGGCGGGGCTGGCAGACAGAGAGAATAAATAGAAGGAGAAATCTGGGAGAAGAAGAGCAAGAGGCCAGCCACTCACCTATACAGCCAGACACAGAGTAAGAAGGAAAGAAAAGGTGTACAGGAATAGAGAAAGGTAAAAGTCCCAAGGCCAAAGACAGACAGGACAGTTTAAGTTAATAAAACCTGGCTAGAAACAGTACAAGCTAAGACTGGGCATTGATAATTAATAAGCCTCTGTGCGTGATTTGTTTTGGGAGGAAGCTAGGTGGCAGCCCCCCAAAAGAGTAAAAAAACAAATAACACCACTGACAGCTTTGGGAGTTGGAATGAATCCCGCCATTAAGGTCCCAGTTTTCTTCCCTGAGTACTGGTCAATGCCTGGGAAGGAGCCAAATCTGACTCCACAAGATTAAGTAACCAGATCCTCCCTGACCAAATCAGAACACTCCGGAACCTTCTTACAAACAGTACCAGACACATAAGTCCGGAAATAGAAATTAAATACCTGGTATTTTAAACCGAAAAAGAAATGGATAAAAATATGACTTAGTCGTACTCGTTCACTAATTCAGTTATGCGATGAAATTCCCTCTGGCACATCTGGATCCAGGTCTGTGATTTCTGTGCTATCTGCCTTGCAGCAAAGCTGTTTCTAGCTTACAACCAAAGGATTCCTTAAGGCACCTTTGGGATACAGCGGCAAGGAAAAGAAACGGATGCCATGCTGCCTGTCCCCTTTCATCAAAGGGACACACGAGCCTGGGTGTTTTAGGTCACATCGGGGGCATTTCTCAGCGTTTAAAAAGGTTCTGCTTTGTAAAAAAAAATAATAAAATAAAATAAAGGCATAGGCATACGCGAAATGGAACCTGCGGGCAGGCTTCCTTGAAGACCAGCTGTGTTTGGGGGCCGTTGTTCTCCTCAGGAATTGTCATCTACCGCCCCCTGCTGGTCACTGTGCTCGTGCTCGGGGTGGCGAGAACTGGGCGTTTCTGGATTCACACGAGCACAAATCTCCCAGCGCGGCTTGCTTGCTCGGTTTGTGCCGGAGTGTTTTCAGCAGCCCCGGACTATCAAAGGGGAACAGCCACATGACAATTATCTGAAGACTCCAGCTCTCCACAAGAAATCACTGCAATTTCTAGACTCGGCCCAGCTGGAGCTCTTCCTCCCCGCCCCCTTTTAACCCTTCCACAGCCTGCCAGGAAGCAGTGCAGTTCTCTGTTAGGATGGGGTGTGCGTTAGGGCCCTCCGGAGAAAGTCCAGAGAGAGTCAGGGATCTATCTTGAAAGTATGGACACAGAGCGAAGGGACCTGCGGTCTGACTTAAAACCGCCTCCCTCGTTCTCCTGGGAGACACGTTTAAACGCGACTACTTCCACTCCACCTTTTCCACCCTTTTGTTAAAATCATAATTTAATACTTTAAATAGACCTTTATGACCCAGCTAAAATGAACCACAAATCACGGCTCTAAACTGCCGTTCTTGGAAGCTAATAATGCAACGTGCGTCAAAAGTCAGTTGACGTCTTATCTACTCACCTTGACAGAAAATATTTTAAGCAAAAGAGGGGCGGTGGGGGCGGGGGACTCCCCGGAAGCGGGTTGGGGAGCCTCTTTCCCAACGCTCCTCCCACCTGATTTTTTGTCTCCTTTCTGGAAAAAAGCCAGGGCCCCAAACGCGTTTTGAGTATCTTTAAATGTCCCGGGGAAAGGGCACTGTGGGCGGAGAATGTCAGTGTCTGTCACTGTTGACCTAGGGGACGTCGTCCTTGGTAGACAGAATAGGTGAGTAGCCTGCCGGCCACCCCCAACGCCCGGAGGAGGGAGAAAGAACGCAGCCGAAGGCATTCCCTGCCCTTTGCAGCCTTAGAGCGTTGCTTTCCCATTTCTTCAAAGCGCTAACTCGTAGATCAAAATACGAACGAAACAGCTGGCCGGACACCACACCCTTCCAGGCCACCGCTCACCACCGGTTCAAGTCCCTGGAGAGGAAGTCTTTTCTTTTTTTTTTTTCATCCCCATTCTTCTAAGCATCACTCCCTGGGAGTATGAAGATAAAAAGAATGAAAACCACAAATAAAAATAGTCCAAATATTGTTTCTGAAAAGCCAAAGGACAAGGACAGCTACCATCCGTCCAAATTCTTAGGCGGAGAAGAAAGGAGTGGGCGAAACGCTCCACCGCACAATCCGCTGCCAGGCAAAATAAACAACAGTAACTTCCAAGAGGGAAGAAGATGGGGCCCAGCCTGGGGCAGAGGCAGGGGGTTGGCCGAGCACTTGCAGTGAATACCCAGCAAAGCCCTTAACGAGTGGCGCTGTCCTCGGTGCTGAAGGCTCTTCCCTGCCTCAAAACTCGATGTGCCAGGACTGAGCGGATTTCCAGGCTCTCTGTTTTTAATACCCCGCTGAGCCCAAGAGTCTGGAGTTGGAGCAGGAGAAAATCAGAGATCAACTCAGTCCTGAGTCTCTCAGTCGGTAGAAAGGTATTTCTCCTTGGCTCACCGGGGTACCACCTTCATGAGCGCAAAGATAATATAACCGAAAAGGTCGCTAACATCCGTTCAATTGATTACTACTGTTCGTATGCTTTTAAACTAAAGACAAGCTTTCATTCTCACCCTCCCCATCACAAAGGAGAAAGGAGAGGAAGAAGGGGGGACCACCTCGAAGATGGGCCCAGCCTGGTTTAATTTGCGAGGACTATTGTTGTAAAATATTCTTTTGTTTCCAACATGGTTGTTTTTTGCCAAAGCCCTAGGAGTGAGCTCTTTTGAATTTTGTGGTCAAAGATAGACATGGTTGAAAATTTCTCCATCTGCGGCCACAGGTGAAGCGAAGGCACGTTCCTTTGCAGGGAGTCTTGGAGGAAGGATAAGGGGACAGAGGAAGGCCGGCATCCCAGCAGAACTGTAGGTATTTAGGGTCAGGAGGATTGGTGGCTTCCTCCCTTCGGCCCAGTGGGTCTTGAGTGACTAAACAGTGGCACCCAGCTTCCTAGCTGGTGTCACTACATCTTTTAACGAAAGCCCGAGAAGGGGGCGTGGAAGAAACTCCGAGTTCACCTCCTCATAAACAGTTTCAAGATATTCCGAAAAGCCTTGAGATGCGCGGTTTGAAGGGACATTTCCCTCGTGAAACACACACACACACACACACACACCTACCTACCTAACCGGGAGCTGTGACGCGGCGGGACTTCAGTTTATGGCTCAGCCCACCCTTCGGGTGCTTTTTGTCTTTAAAAAGTGCGGGGGCTTTTTTTGCGAGGCGGAGAGAAAGCAGCCTTGTTTTCTTTGGTAGCAGGAGCAACGCGATTTCAGTGTCTTTTGTTGAACACACCATATCTTCCCAGTCCTGACTCTTCCAGCTCCCTCACGGAAATTTCGGTAATTTATATGATTTTTTTTTTATGTTTCCGTTGCTTGGTGATGAAAATCGATAAGACAGTCACAGGAAAGGGACGGGTCTCGGGTAAAACCATCGAGGACCCAGACGTGCGCATAAATAAACCCTGCCTGCTGCACCGCAATGTGAGGGAAATCACTATGAAAACGAGTAAAGCGATCAACGGAGTACTCCCCATCACCCGGACAGACCCGAAGATCAAGTTTGTTTTGGCCCCCAAAGAATAAGGAACGGGGGGGGGGGGGGAGAGAAAAGGTGGAGCCAGGAGGTAGCTGCGGGGAGGCTCGTAGAGGGCAGCGAGTTAAGAGCTGGGCGAGCATCTCCAGGTGTCGTCTGGGGCGCACCAGGGAAAACGCAGCCAGCGCAGGGTCCCTGGGCGTTTGGCGCCCTCTGGTGGAAGTTTTTCAGTTACCGCCTTTTCCTGCTGGGGGGCGGGGGGGACTTCACCCCGCTCAGCAAGGTGCTTAAACACTGCTAAGAGAGAATCTTTAAACGCCGTGAAATTGAAAAGAAGTGAGGAGAGTGGGCCAAGACGAGGAGTGTGCTCTGTCCTGCCTTCCCGGAGCCACCTCCACGCTCGAGTTCCCCAGGCGTGTGGAGTGGCACTCGTGCGTGTTATTAACCTTCAGACATGATCAATCACGAAGATTTCTTCTCCCTTCCTCAAGGGAGGTCGGGGGGGAGGTGGCTCAGAGAAAGCGAGATGGGGTCCCTTTCCCCTGGTGGTACCAGGTAGCTGTGTTCGAAGGTGGTGGTTTGAGGATGCCTCTAAGGGGGTGAAGAGGCTGGAGTGAGGAAACTCCACGGTCTGGGTGGTCCCCTTGTCTCTGTCTGTTTTGCCTTTACAGCAACCCTGACTCAGTAGAGTGTCCCCCCACTCCAGGACACCACCCATAGAAAGCCCTGTGGAGGGTCGTGGATCCTGGGCAATCACAGGAAAGGGATTAAGGTGATGCTGGCCTCTTCTTAATCACCGCTCATTTCTTAGCTCCAGCCGACCAGCATCAGCAAAGACACTAGTCTTCTCCAAGAGACGACGGGGGGGCGGGGGGCGCAAAGAAGAGAAGAAGCACCCAGTGAAACAGAATTCTTCGTAGGAATTATCTTTTTCCCTGCTCTCACCCAACATTGCCTATCTCAAAAAAATATTTTTTTTTTAAAAATAGAGCGTGCTGATTACGTTCTGGATTACTCATAGGACTTCGTCCCCCCCCCCCCCCCCGCCTTCTGATCGAAAACCCGTGAGCTGGATTTATGATTGCCCTGTAAAGCTCCGGAGGCCGTCAGACACCTGCAAAGGAGCCCCACGGCTCGGCGGACGAGCTGCCCCCGCGAGCAGCGGCCTCGTGATTCCCCCCGCCGAGCGGGTCCCCGCCTCCCTACCCCGCCCCCGCCTCCCCCAAGCCCAGCGGCCGCCTCTCCGGATCTCTGTCTTCTCCAGGCTCTCGCGTGCCGGACCAGCGACCGTGCAAGCAAGGAAGCAGCCCCGGGGTGACACCCGGCACGTACTCTTGTGGCTGAGCCGAGACAAGCCGGGGACGCTTCGCCGAGGAGCCGCGGGAGGGTCCAGCTCGCGATCGCCCAACCGAGGTGGGTAAACACGGGATCGCCGGGACTTGCCAGCGCCCAGCCTTGGTTATTCAACCCGGTCCTCCCAGCCTGCGGCTTCTTGTCAAGCCCTATCCCACCCCACCCCGAGCGGGCGCCTGTCGCCCACCTTCCACAGCCTAGTGCTTCCCGCCAGTCCAGTCGCAGCTGTCTTTTGGTGTTCCCCGGCCCCCCCGGCCCTCCTCACTCTTGCGATCATTATCAGTGGTTTCTTCCGGAGGACCACACGGGAGCCGAAGTGACACCAGAGCCATTTTCCCTTTGCGCTCCGGGGATCGGAGCTCGCGGCTCTGGGATCCGCGCCTGGGTAGCCGCGGCAGAAGGTGCGAGGAGCGATAACCTGTTACTTCCCCAGCACCCGCGTTCCACCGCCGCCCGCCGAGCTTCGAGAGCGCGCGCGCGAGCGGGGACAGATGCCCAACCCGGGGGACGACGTGCAAGCGGCGGCTGGTGGGCTGCGCTCTGCGGGGTCTTAGATGTACCCAGATTAGCGCTCTCTCCTCTCTCTCTCTCTCTCTCTCTCTCTCTCTCTCTCTCTCTCTCTCTCTCTCTCTCTCTCTCTCTCTCTCTCTCTCTCTCTCTCTCTCCCCTCTTCCCTCTCTCCTTTCTCTCCCTCTCTCCCTCTCTCTGTCGCAAGCAAGCACCAAGTAGGGGCGCCGAGCACTCGGCTCTATCCGAGGTCTCGCGCCCTGGGCGCAAGTTCGCCTCCCAGGTGATGTTCTCCTTTCTACCCTCCGCCACCTTCCCTGGCTCAGTGAGACGAACTCTGGGGACTAGGAAGGGTAGAAACAGGGAAGCTGGGACTCAGCCTTGCCCTAGGCTTCGATAGCTAGAAACGAGGTGGGACAAGAAGCCCACCAGCAAGGTTCCGACCCGCTGCCTTTTGGCTGTCTGGAGTGCAAGGTGACTGGTTCCTAGTGGGTCAAGTCCTAGGGGGAAAATGAAAAAAAAAAAAAAATGAATCCCTTTTCCCTCTCACCTTGTCTCACCAAAGTCCCTGTCCCCGGCGTTGCGAGCTTCCCTCTTTCCAAGGAATTATCCAGACACAACAACGGGAACCAGACACCGAACCAGACGTACCCGCCCTGCGCGCCCTCCCCTTGTCTGCGGGTCCGCCAAGCTGCCGGGAGCCCAGTGGGGTTTGTCTTGGCTTGGCTGGAATTCACTCGAAGAGTGCGCCTAGCCTTGTCCCCACCCCATCCCCTGCGCCCTGCACTCGCCTCGGGAGCCCCTTAGCTCTCTGGGGTCACCCGGTTGAGCCTCCAGATTTGAGAGTCGCTCTGGGCTACTGTGCCTGCGCCCCAGTCTCGGAGCTAGCGAGCGAGCGCCTCCCCACCCCCTCCCACCAACGGCGCACCGGGACCTAGCCAGCTCACTGCCCTTGGTCTCCCTTCTGTCTCCGAGACTTCTGTGACCCCGGCCGCTGGACCCAGAAGCTCTGCCCAGCACAGCTCTCCCTTCTGTTTGCAGCCTGTTCCTGCGCCCAACCCGCCGGGGACCCTTGAACAGTAGAGACCCCGGGACCACCGAGCTGATGGCATCTTCCACTCCTTCGTCTGCAACCTCCTCGAACGCGGGAGCGGATCCTAATACTACCAACCTGCGCCCTACAAGTAGGTCCTGCCCTAGTTTCCTATTAAATGGACTGCAGCGAGGGTGGGGGCGCTGGGACCGCGGGAGGCTGCGAAAGGAGAGGGTAGAAATGATGGAGGCTGGGAAACAAACGGGGCCCTATCCCAGGTTCCTGCTTAGAGGTCATTTGGCTGCCAGGGACACGAGGTTACCGAAGAGCGAGGACTTCACAGGGGCCCGGAGGGATAGATCCTTAGGGTCTCAGCGGCGGGTAGCGGCGCGCAAGGCGTGGTGGTGGTGTTTTTTGTCTGCTGGGACAACAGGGGTCGGAACAGGGGGGCGGTGTGAGGAACCCGGAGTCCCAGAGAGAACAGGTTTTTTTGCTGTAGCTTTGAGCTAAGACCTGACCTCTTCCTCTCCTCTCCCTTCCCCCGCCCCCAGCGCTGTACTCACAGTCCATAATCAGGGGAAATTTCGACGTTAATTGCAGCTTTTAGAAAACTCAGGGTCCCTAATTGCTCCAAATTTGTGTCTAGCTATTGACGAGTGAGGGCGAAGCCGGGGCGTGAAAGGTGCACAAAACTGCTTGAGATTCAATTAATTACATCTTAGAGACAAAAAAAAGGGCGAGGGGAGGGGTATTAGGCATCAGCCGGAGTGGCAAGATGTTGGGGGCTAACTGGGAGGAGAAATGGCGTGCCAAGCTGGGAGGCAAAAGCACCCCTATGCTTTCTCCTGCTGGAGAGACCTGTCAGCAGGTGACAAGTCTTGGAGAGATCAGAGAAAGGAGATAAAGGGGGCATTTATGCTTCCTCACTCAATCTGTCTCTGAATCAGACTGACTTTCTGACTCCATGTAGACGAGCGGGGACGCGGGATTTGCTTGTCTTTTTTCCATATTGGGGTGAAGTCTTTCCCCACCCCTCTCCCACAAATCTATCAGCTCCAGACAGTTCTGGCCCCGGAATCTCTACAGGGGAGGAGCTGAGGGAGGTCGGTGTGGTCGAGAGTGCGTATTGCTGCGTTTTTTTTTTTTAAGCCTGTGAAAACAATTGTTCCCATCCACGCAAGCGGCAAGCAGAAGGCAGGAAAGCCCCCCTTCAGTCTCTTGGTGCAGACTCTGGGGCAGGAGGCCCTAATTCCTCAGGCCACTTTGCAGTTCCCTCAGCAGCCCCCTCTTCCTGCACGCAGGCAGGCTACAATTGCACACACAACAAAGCGGGGCTCCGGAGAATCGTCAGCGCCGGCGGCAGGCACGTGAGCCAGGCGTTGGCGGCGGAGCCAGCGGTGGGAGCTGGCCTGGCAGAACTCGAGGCCTGCGCCCCTTTTGTCTGTTGACCGGGCCTGCACAGATTGCTTTTCCAGTCCTCCCCACGTCTTACTCCAGTTCTTATCCCCACAGCGCGCACGCTTTCATTCCCTCTCCTGCAGGGTTGGGGGCAACCCTCCACACTAGGCACCCCTACCTGTATCCTGCATCCCCGCCAGATCGCCCTAGTCCTCAAATGTCCAGCCTCAGCAAAGGCGAGGCGATGGTCTGAGTCCACGCGCGGCTTGGTGCCTCCAGAAACTACCTACGTGGAGGCCAGAGATCTAAGGACCCCTGCCGGGGAGAATGCCCTTCTCTAGGAACACCTAACCTTAACTGGGGAGCCCGGGAGCGCGGACCCCACGCCCGGTCCACTTTTTCGCCCTCCCCGGAAGACACACCCCCAGCTTGCTGTGGGTCTTAGCCTCTGCTGGACCCTCTGGAAGGCGTCCGTTCTGCTCTGTTACACACCTTACACACCTTGTTCCAGCA